GGGTACGCTGGTGCAGATGACCATGCTGCGACCAGCGAAACCATGGTACCACCTCCTCGAACTACTCTTCGCTTCGCATCCTGCTGTTGCTCCTCTTCCGCGCCCCCTCCTTATCCTTCTCAAATGGTCGTGCTGCTTTCATGCAACCTCACTTTGCAGCCGGCAAGCACTTGGTGGGTACAAGGCATCTAAGCGAGCTCACCCGAGGTTCGCGATCATACGACCTCACATCTTGAGCTGTGCAAATTGATCGGATTCCCGACCAGTGGACAGCACTGGAAGCAAGCCGCGAGATGCATCCCACTCGATCAAGGTGGGCTGATTTCCCGGTGTAGATGTGCAACCAGACCTAGACAGAAGAACATCCCTCAAGAGCATGAGACCCTCCGACGGCCAAACTGAAGCACATTCGAGGGTACCCTCCCCCAAGATGCACAATAGAACAAGGCTACGATCGGGATAAATCGCTCCAGAGCGTTCCTGAGCGCTCTCAGAGCGTTCCGGAACGCTCTGGAGCGGCCGCGGCGCCCAATACATCCTCCAAACCCGCCGATTCTCAGAGATTTCGAGTTATCCCGATCCGATTTTGTCCCGATCTTCGCGTCGTCCGACACAAACACATCCAACAAACACGAAGAAGATCAGGACACCCTCCCCGAACCGGCCTCGATCAAATATACCTCGGTCCGAGCGTAGACCTGCCCTCGTCCTCACTGGGAAAGCCTTGGCCCCGCTGTCCGACCTGCCCCCCCTGGAGGGGGTCGACGCCCTCTCCGTCGGGTGCCGCGGCATCCATCCCCCACCTCGGGCGATGGGCCCGACAATGCGGGGAGCAAGGAGCGACGCGGAGGGGTGAGCGAAGCTGCGGCGGAACGGGAGGGGGCCAACAGGTCTCCACATTATCGATTCCGACATTGTTGTACATCGGTGCGCCGCCGACGTGCTATCACATGCTGGGCAGAAGAAGCTACAGTCAACCCGTACAGTAAGGATGCGCGATAAGGATGCAAGGGCCTTGGACGCCAACTTCGAAGCTTTCTTTTGCCTGAAGGTGCTGCAGGGGGGAGGGTCTCCGCGAAACCATGACGCAATCATGATAGCATGGCATGAGGGGGCGTACAGCCAACCCGTAAGGATGCGCGGTAAGGATTTAAGAGCATTGGAGGGTCATGCTAACGGTTTTCGAACGATGCTGGCGAGCGTCAGCCGCCAAGGATTGGCCGAAAGGGGCAAGAATGCACAGGTACCCTTGGGAAAGCTGCCCATCCTCACCATGCGGGTTGGCTGTACAAGGTAACCAGCACAGCAACCGCATCCCCAGCCAACAAGGACAATCCTCGATTGTTATCTGATCGATCTTGTTCATAACGTACAGGCACGGGCAATATTTGCGGTTGCCTGCAGCTGTCACATAGCTCGTGATGGACAACCAGGTGCTCCACAGCATGCGTCCATCACGAACGCTCTATTGCAACAGCATGCACACCGCACATGCGATGAAGTGATCATCATCCGACATCATGCTTTTCTCAATTATCAGTGAACCGAGCAGGCATCTGTTAGGCGTCAACGAAATTAAGACCGCCTGGGTAATCACACGCACAAGTAAGAGACAGCGCGGCAACACGGACAGGAACTCACGCACGAGAGAACAATGCACAACGATGGAATATATGAAACAAGCGCCCATACCCATTTGACTTATCCTCCGCGCTAGAAGAACGCATCGACTGATCTGCCTTCTATCGTGTCGATGATATCCGCCGGCTCCAGACTGCTGGACTAGCCCATTCGTGTGAGTCTCTGGATGTCCAGGAGAATGAAGCCACAGAACTACCCGCGTAAACGAAACCCGAACCGGAGACTAAAAATCATTTGCCGTTCGTCTCGTCCCCCGCGCCTCAGCGAGGCTCCTTCCCCGTTCCGCTCCGCCAGGCCCTGACGACTGCAGCCACCTGCGAGACGCCCATGCCAGCTGCAGAAGGACCGCACGCCTGCGCAAACCTCAGACCACAGGGAGGGGATGAAACCAGGGACGCGAAGGAGGTAGAAATAGAGGACGAGCATTCTGTTGCTCCCGTCGTTCTTGAGGACCGCGTCCCAGAAACCATTTCGAGCTCCCGGAGAAGTGTCGAAACAGTGTCGAAACAGTGTCGGACGAGTGTCTCCCGGGGCCCGACACGTGAAGACCGTGTCGAGCTTCGGTCTTTTTCTGGGTGCTCGAACTTCTTTCTCGTGATCACGGCTGAAGCAGGCTGGAACATCATAAGACGAGCAGCGGAAGTGGGAGAAATCCACTGCGGGACGGGAAAATGACCACAACCACTGCTTCTTGTTTGCGCCACCTTCCAGCCGGCCGAAAAAGAAGCAGTGGCTGTGGTCATTTCCCTGGCGCCAAGCTCAACGAAAACGACCACAACCACTGCTTTTTTTCTGCGGGCTGGAAGGCGGCAACAAAAGAAAAACAGTGGCTGTGGTCGTTTTCTTTGGACACCCGAAATGGGTACCGAAAGAATGGGCAACATGCCCAACAACAAATGTTGTCCCGAATCAACAGCGGCCGCTGTTGGGCAGGCGGCCTTCTGTCTCAAATGAACACAGGCCGCGGCGGCGCGGACAGCGAGTCCTGTTCAGAATGAACAGGAACTGCTGTTGGGCATCGTACCCATTCTTTCGGTACCCATGTCGGGCGTCCAAATTTTCACGCCGCGTATCCACACTCCGCTTCGCCAGCCCCGTGTCCCGCGACCCCGGCTCCGCACTCCCCCCCGCGGCCGCCCCCGCAGCGGCGGCCGCGCACGGGGGGCTCTCGGCCTCCGGGCGCGCCCCGCGCTCCCGCCGCGCTGGCCGCGGGGGCGGACGGCGTGCCGGCGGACGCGCGGGGCCCCTGGCGTTAAGTCGGGCCTGTCCCCCTACAGGGGGAGTTTCGACGAAAAATTAACAATACCCCAAGCATTATCAAAACATGGTCCAAAAATAGTCTGGGGACTATTTTTTTATTTTTTTTGACCTTTTTGGAATATGTTTGGTGTATATTTATTTGTCGTTGAAAATCCTCCTGTAGGGGGACAGGCCCGACATAAACCTGGCGCAGAGGGAGGGCGCGCCTTCCAGTCGGCGCAGCAAACCACCTGTGGCTGCTGCAGGTGGTGGTCTCCCCGTCCGTCGCCCCCGAATTCTGCCGCTCCTGCCAGGGTTACGTCGGGCCTGTGCCCCTACAGAGGGATTTGCGCCGAAAAATGAAACATACCCGAAAAATACCCCCAAAAAGTAAAAAATCCTAAAAAGTAGTCCCTAGACTATTTTTGGACTATTTTTGGGGTATGTTTTATTCTTCGTAGGAAATCCCACTGTAGGGGGACAGACCCGACTTAATGTCAGGGTCTGCGTGTGAGGCTTGGCCAGCCCAGTCTGGTCGGGCACTGGATGGGTCGGCGTGGTCGCGCCTCTTCTCGGGCGCGAGAGGCGAGCGCTATCGCTGGGTGAAGGAGAGATCGGCAAAGACTGGACTTTGGACCGCAGACCAATTTCTGCCCATAACCGCCACCGCTGGCAACTTCGGGACTTCCTCGTATGGCTACAACTCCGTGCAAGATGACCCGATGAAGCGATGTGCTGACGTTGGCGATAGCACTCATTCCCATGCCCTGTCTCTACGCGTTTTGTCGGCCGTGGGGTCAGCACCAACAGCCGTCCGCGTAGAGTAGCCAACCTTGAACTGCAAGAACCCAATGGATCGCGGGCACCGGAATTCCAGGTCCATGAGCATGGCCTCTAGGAAGAGGAGGAGCTGTGGAGCTACACTGAGCTGACGCATCTGCGGCATCTGCGGCACATCTGCCTGGCTCTCCTGAAAGGCCAGCCTGCTCCACACGGCGCGCCCGTCGCCCACTCTTGGGCCGCCTCGGGTGACAGCGATTGCCTCTGACTATGTTTGGACAGTCCTCCTGTAGGAGGGACATGCCCGACTTCCCAGAAATCCGATGTCGTGATTTTTTCAATGCGGGGTCCCCGGAAATCTCGACCCGTTCCCCGGGACCGGTTTTTCATTCTGAGTCGTTTTTTGACGGTCCCGAGGCCCGGCGAGGGCCCCCAGGGGCCGAAATTTGCAACAAAAACCTCCGTCTTGATTTTTTCAAGGCGTTGGATCTCTGGGATCTCTGTTTTTCGTCGACAATCCCCCTGTAAGGGGACACGCCCGACGTAACGCTGGCGCTGGGCCCGTCCAGGCTCTCGCCGCACGGGCGCCCGCTCGGGCGCCCCTCGCGGGCGCCCCGTGCGCCGGCGGGGTCCGCCGAGGTGTCGCTCGGTGTGAGCTCGGTCGGCGCCCGCGTGGGGTCTGCTGTGGATGGCGCCACGTGGCTTGCATGAACCCAGAGATCCAACGCCTTGACAAAAATCAGGACGGAGGTTTTCCCATATCTCGGCCCCTGGGGGCCCTCGCCGGGCCTCGGGACCGTCAAAAAAACTACTCAGGATGAAAAACCGGTCCCGGGGAACGGGTCGAGACTTCCGGGGACCCCGCATTGAAAAAATCACGACATCGGATTTCTGGGGAGGCGAGGAGCAGCAGGCAGACGGCGACGGAAGCCCTGGCGGGATGCCAGGGCCAGCGGGGCGGAAGGAGCCAGGCAGGCAGGCATCGGGGAGACGTAAGACTCGGGTATCGGGGGGCTCGGGTTGGCCTGACGGGGCCGTCATAACGAGGACGAGACCCAACCTGGAATTTGACGCGAGCTCCCGCCGCAGACATCCCACGAACACCGGGCCGTCACAGTCCAGGGCGCGCTCGTCAAGAAGCACCGGCAGGCCTGAGTTCTGGCTTACTCGAGACCTGCGTTGCCCCGAAGGCAGGCGGACAGGCGGACAGGGGCAGGGGGAAGACAACCAACTGAGATCGTGGGCGTCGGATACTCAGTTCAGTTAGACGATGCGCTGCGCGCTGCTCCCGCAGCCACGTGCCACAACAAGTACCTCTAGCCAGCGTGGCGTGGCCAGGCGCTCGGCCCCTCTCGAGGGCCCTCGGGTGCGCAGCGCCCGCCCTGGTGGGGGCCACTGGCACTCCTGGGCCGTGCCGAGGCCACCGCGCCGAGAGCAAGCTAACATCAGCTCCTTCCGTGGGCTCCGTGGGCCCGCCCCCACGCGCCACCAGCTCATCGCGTGCGACGGGTGCGCAGGAAGGCTCCCTCGCACAGGCCCCGCCTCAGGGGGGGTGCCCTGCGCCCTGGGTCGACAAGGGGCGGCGGGGAGCAGGGCGCGAAGGCAACGACGGCGCTGCGCGGCCCGCCCGACGCCTGGGTCAAGGGCAGCTCGCCCGCAGCCCCGTGGAGGTCTTGGAGAGGCCCGTTGCGCACTGTGACGCCACTGGATTTCGGGGTGACCTGGATGTGCCGGGCCCCGATGGGCCTCGCCAGCTTGCTGTCTCGGGTGCCTCCTTGGTGGGGGCGTCGCGCCGCCGCAGGCTGGCGATCGCGATCAGACCTCCTCGAGAGCTGCAGCCCCGGCATCGAATCGAGCCCCTCCTCCTCCTCCTCCTCCTCTTCCTCCTCCTCCTCCTCCTCCTCTTCCTCCTCCTTCTCTCCCTCCTCAGGAACTCCGGCAGAGGCCCGCCCTTGGCGAGACCCCGGACCCCCGAGGCAGCGGCCGCGACCGGGGCGAGCTGCGCCCGCCAAAACCGCCCCACCGCCACCGAGGGGGGCAGAGGGCACACCATGGGCGATTGGCCCCAGACACCAGACCTCCTCCTCCTCCTCCTCCCTCCTCCTCCCTCCTCCTCCTCCTCCTCCTCCTCCTCCTCCTCCTCCTCCTCCTCCTCCTCCTCCTCCTCCTCCCTCCTCCCTCCTTCCTCCTCCCTGCGACACGCCGTTCAAACGTGTAAAAATCCCTTAGGGGCTGCCTCGGAAGCCCCATCACAACTGTGGCGACCAGAGTGCGGATGGAGGGCCGCTTGAGCCGCGCACCTACACACAGGCGGCTGTGCTGTGCCTAGGGCCTAGGGGCCCCAAACATAATCACCTCCAGCAACTCAGCCTGTCCCTGGGGGGTTCAGGTCCTGGATGTCTCTCGTCCCCGGGTTCTCGATTGCACGCCCCGTCTGGACAGGGACTTGCCTTTGCGCGGCCTGGAGCTTTCCCAACGTAAGCGGGGCCAAAGATTCTTCTCTCCCCAATCTACGGCCCCTTTTGAAAGCAACACGGATCCTCGCCCACGCACGAGGAGGAACCACTGTCCGACTCTGGGGCGAGGACCTCCCCGTCCGGCCATCGACACAGGGGCGGGGGGTCCCGCAGCTGGCGACAGGCGAAGCGAGGCGCCCGCAGCCGCGGCCTGGCGGTCGAGTAGCCCTCGTCCGAATCAGCGTGTCGATGCGGCCCGTAAGCCCGCCTCGTCTCCGTCGTCGTCGTGTGCTACTTTGCTCGGGACTGGTTTTCCTTATGCAGTGGCCACCGCCACTAATCCTTCGCACTCCCTCCTCCTTCCCCCTTCCTCCCTCCCCCCAAAGCTTCTGGAGATTGCAGGGTTGGCGGGAAGGCGCTAGTCCCCAAGTATCGTCGCTGGTGGCGTTGCAGTTGATCCGAATCTGGCAATTCAAGATTCGATACTCCTTAAGGATCTCCTTGACGGATTCTGAGGGCCGCTGCTGCACGTAGGCGCGGACGGGGAAAGGGGGAAGGGCAAGGGAGAGCGGGGAAGCGAACAACAGATGGAAAGTAACGGGAAATAATAGCGGGCCAGGGGAGCGTGACGAGGGCCAAGGTGAATGGCGAAACGAGAGAGCGAGAGTGAGAGGGAAAGAGAGACATAAAGAGAGAGAGAGAGAGAGATAGCGCGAGAGAGAACTGACAGAAAGAGAGAGAGAGAGAGAGACAGGGGGAGACAAGAGAGAGAGAGAGAGAGAGAGACAGGGGGAGACGAGAGAGAGAGAGAGAGAGAGAGAGGCCAAACACATGGTCCCTCGTCGCAGTCGACCAACTGGTATCCGGGCGCGACGCTAATAGCCATGCCGCCCTTGTCCCTCTTCTTGAATGATACTTGCGGAGGCTTCTTGTTCAGCCTGATCCCGAAGCCTCCGCCGAGAGAGAAGACAGGACGACCACTGCCTATCGATCAATCCTTGAACACACACACACACACGCACACGCACATACACACACACGCCCATACACACGCACACACGCACGCACACACGCGCATACACACACGCACACACACACACGCGCACACACACACGCACACACACGCACACACACATACACGCAACACGCACACACACACGCACGCACTCGCGAACACACACGCACGCACACACACGACCACACACACACACACGCACACACACACACGCACACACACACACACTCGCACATGCACACACACACACACGCACACGCACACACACGCACACACACACTCGCACATACACACGCACGCACAAACGCACAAACACGCAAACACACGTACACACACGCACAATCACACAGGCACGCACACCAACGCTCACACACACGCACACACACACACACATACACGCAGACACGCGAATTCACACACGCAAACACACAACCGCACACACACACACACGCACACATACACGCACACACACACACACTCACACACGCACACACACACACACGCACACACACACACACACACTCACGCACACGCACACACACACAGTCACGCACACGCACACACACACACACGCACGAACAACACACAGCACCCAAAACACACAACACACACAGCACACACATACGCAACACACAACACACAACACACATAATACAACACACACAAGCACACGAACACACTCGCTTTCCTCGCGACGAGAATCTATTCGCGAGCAGGAAGTCAAGGGAAGCAGCGAGAATCGAGCACAGGATACTGCCGAAGATAACACCACCCTCCAAACGCTACCGCTTGCCACAGCACCCGCGCGTGAGCCCCCCACAAAAGTGGGCGACAGAGGCCGGGGCCCCCCCTGCGAGCGACCGCCGCAGCCCCGACGCGCGCGCGGGGGCAACGAAGCACTGGTAAAACGACGCGAAGATCGGGACAAAATCGGATCGGGATAACTCGAAATCTCTGAGAATCGGCGGGTCTGGAGGATGTATTGGGCGCCGCGGCCGCTCCAGAGCGTTCCGGAACGCTCTGAGAGCGCTCCGGAACGCTCTGGAGCGATTTATCCCGATCCTAGCCCTGTTTTAACTGGGGGAGCGGGGCTCTTCTCGGGTCGGGCGAAAGGGGGGGATAGCAAAGGGGGGGGCGTGAGAATCAGCTCACGCAGCTGATTTTCCCGGCGCCTCCCGGCGCCGGAGGCGGCTACGTACCGAGGAATGGGCCCCTCGGTGAGGCCGCAACCAGCTGCATGCAGCAGATTTCCCAACCCCCCCTTTCCCAATCCCCCCCTTTCGTCTGGCCCGATCTTCGTCGCCAGCTCTCCGGGCGAACCCGAACCCCCAAACAAGGCGCCCACCTCTTCGGGGCGCATCTCTTACTTCCGCCGCCTCCCGCCGGCCTTCGCGCCGTCTGCCTGCTGCTCCTCGCCTCCCCAGAGATCCGACGTCGTGATTTTTTCAATGCGGGGACCCCGGAAGCCTCGACCCACTCCCCGGGACCGGCTTCTCATCCTGCGTCGTTCTTTGACGGCCCCGAGGCCCGGCGAGGGCCCCCATGCATGGGGGCCGCAAGATCAGCGAAGACCTCCGTCTTGATCTTTGTCAAGGCGTTGGAGCTCTGGGCCGGGAGCCTCGACTTAACGGGCGAAGAACGGTACAACATGAACTTTTTCGCTGTCGGGGGCGCTTGTCCCTGGGCGGCTGGAAAGTCTATAAACTTTCCCCTTACGGTGGCACCGTAGGGGTATGAACTTTCCAGCCGCCCAGAGACAGGCGCCCCCGACAGCGAAGCAGTTTATCTTATACCTTTCTTCGCTCGCTGATCGACGGCGAGGCCCTTGCTCTGGGCCGGGAGCCTCGACTTAACGGGCGAAGAACGGTACAACATGAACTTTTTCGCTGTCGGGGGCGCTCTCTGAGGAGGAGGAGGAGGAGGAGGAGGAGGAGGAGGAGGAGGAGGAGGAGGAGGAGGAGGAGGAGGAGGAGGATCTCTCCTGCTCCTCCTCCTCCTCCTCCTCCTCCTCCTCCTCCGGGCGCTCGCTGATCGACGGCGAGGCCCTTGCGCTCTGGAGCGCCCCCGGGCAGCTCACCGCCGGAGGCCCCCACGGGGCCCCCACATGGGCGGGGCGTCGTGGGGCCACCGGCGCGCGCTCCCGCAGCGCGCCACGCCCCAGGGGCGTCGGCCCGCCAGGGGGTAGCTGCTGCTGGACGCGACCATTCCCTGTTTTTTTTTCGGTTTCGTGCGTGGTTTTTTCGCCAAATGATCAAGGATGCTCCTCGATGGTCCTCGCCGAAGGAAAAATGCACACGCCAAGCCCCATGGGCGTCGGCCCGCCAGGGGTAGCTGCTGCTGGACGCTTCAGTCGGGGCGTTGACCTGAGGGACCCCAAAATAAGGAACGAGGCCCATTTTCTCCCATAAGTTAAACTTCGACTTCATATCGGAAACATAAGGGGAGCCTGAGGCAAGCTGCCAAACACTTTAAGGAACGCGGAGCCCCTCCCCAGCCAAAAGGGTTCCTTCTTCAGGGCCCCGACTGTATCTGCTGCTGGACGCTACCGCGTCGGAGCGGCACGGGGGAGGGCCGTTCACGTCCATCGGGGGGGCGGGGCGTCGTGGGGCCACCGGCGCGCGCTCCCGCAACACGCCACGCCCCATGGGCGTCGGCCCGCCAGGGGCATCTGCTGCTGGACGCTACCGCGTCGGAGTGGCACGGGGGAGGAGGAGGAGGAGGAGGAGGAGGAGGAGGGGGAGGAGGAGGAGGAGGAGGAGGAGGAGGAGGAGGAGGAGGAGGAGGGGGGAGGAGGAGGGAGGAGGAGGGAGGAGGAGGAGGAGGAGAAGGAGGAGGGGAGGAGGAGGGGGAGGGCCGTCCACGTCCATCGGGGAGGAGTCCGCCTGCCCAGGGGGTTCCGCTGGGTCGGCGTATAGCTGAGGTCTGGCCCTCTTGGCTCACGGCGGGTGGCGACGACCACGTCTGGGGAGACCGGGGGCGGGCCCTCCATCTCCATCGGAGATGGGGCCTCAGGGGGGTGGGGGGGAGGGGGCTGCGGTCCACGTCGGCCGCTCGAGCGCGGCGGGGCCAGCGCGGTCGGAACGGCAGTCGGGCAGAGGGAGCGCGGATTGGGCACCAAAGGGGGAAGAAGGCGAGCGAGGCCGGGGCGGCGGCGGAGGCAGGAGAAGAGGAAGGCACGCCCAAAGCGTAGAGATTCTGCGGGCGGAGTGCATCCGCCCTGTTTCCCAAAAGGGTCATATATATATACACATATATATATATATGTGCACATATATACATATATATATATGTACATACACACATATATATATGTATATATATATATGTATATGTATATATATATATATATATATATATATATACATATATAGATATATATCCGGAATCCGTGCGCGGGCTGGGTTCGTTATCTCCAGGACCCTTTGGTGTGACTTCTTGGGCCGCCAGGAAAAGAAGACGTTGGGCCAACTCGTTCGCCATTACAACAGCATGGAGGCCCCAAATCACCAACGCTGCATGAGAAGACACATGGTCGGCACTGCAACTTTCTCGCACTCTGACCACCAGGCAAGACGCGGTGCGGCAACGTTTCGTCTTCTGGCAACCAGGTACTGCGCAGTCACTGTTTCTCATTCTGCAAACTAGAACCTCGTCACGGCACGGCAAGGGGTATCTCGTTCGCATTCTAAACAACTGAGGGTCGACCTCCGTACAAGAGCCGAAAGCCCTCACGGCACTCGCTGCTCAAGGAATCACTCGAATCAGAGATCCTGGGGCAAGCACTGTCTCGGGAACTAGCGAAAGTCCGTGACGGAGGCTTCATAATCTCGGATGAGGGTGAGGGGTTGGAGGTGCCGCTTCGAGCCTGGGACCAACGCCCCCCTGGGGGGAGGAGCGATCGGCCCGGGACGGGCCTGGGGCCACGCCGAAGAGCCCCCTGGGGCGAGCCGATGCTGCTTCGCCTGCACTCGGACACCGCCCCCGGGCATTGCGTTGGGGCGGCGGCGCTTGTTTCCAGAGCAAGCTCGGCAGGTTCGATCGACTCACTCTGCCGCAAGCTTCAGCCTGGGGCCTGATCGCAGGCGCCGGCTCGGCAAGGATCCAGGCTCTTCTAGCTTGCCTCGGGCTCTTGGGGCGTCTCCGAAGACGGACAGGGGGGGCGTCCCAAAGACGGACCAAGGCCGCGCTAACGGCGATGTTGGTTAACGGCGATGTTGGGAATCCGACCTCTGTGACGCCGAGCTCGCGCAGAACGAATTGCGAACCACGATGCCCTAGTCTTGGTTCGGCCACGAACACCGGTCCCGCCTGCAAGCGCCGGAGCCTGCACCGAGACTCCTGGGCGCACCTCGGCCCAGGGGCACCTCCAGCAACGCCCGAGAGCTCCATGCGCTCAGACCTGTGGCGGGGAAAGAGCAGCGGACCGGGTCGGCACATCCACAGATGCGAGCAGGAGAGACTCTCATTGCTGGCGTTGGATGCAGAAGAACAGCGGAACCGCGCGATGACTTTAACGCCCGAGAGCCGAGAGGGGTCGGCGGGGCGGAGCGCACTCGCGCGCCTGCCGCGCCCTCGTGCCCGAGGGGCGCCGCCCACGGGGCCTCTCGACTCTCCGAGCAGCGGGGGGGCGGCAGCGTCGGTGCGCCGCGGGTGTGCAGCCCCCCCGCCCCTCCACTCCGCGTGGCCCTCCGGTGCGGCCCCCGCGGCCCCTGCCCGTGGGTTGGCCCTATTGCTCCCCGTGTGGCGTGGGGGGGGGTTGCTGTCCCTTGCTGGCTCCATTCCGCTTTTTGGACGCCCGGAATGGGTACGGAAAGAATGGGTACAATGCCCAACAACAACTGTTGTCCCAAACCAACAGCGGGCGCTGTTGGGCAGGCGGCCTTCTGTCTCGAATGCACACAGGCCGGACAGCGAGTCCTGTCCAAAATGAACAGGAACTGCTGTTGGGCATTGTGCCCATTCTTTCCGTGTCCATTCCGTTCGTGCAGACACTTGGCCCGGCCCCAGAAAGAATGTTCTGAAGGGCGGCGACGGGATGCTGTGCCGTGGGCTGGCGCTCCTTCGGAGCAGAAGGCTGCCGCAAACCTGACGGATCATGCAGATGTCCGCAGGGTGTTCAGTAACACGTCGTTGCCGATTCAGCCGGCTCTGAAACAGTGCTGGGAACACTTGAGAGCCATTCGCGCACCTCTCAAGAGGAGGCGGAGGAGGTGGAATCGGAGAAGGCGTCGTGCAGGCCATGCGACGGCTGCACCCTCTCTTGGGTGCCTCCCCGCCGGCAGCTTCTGCAGGTCTATCGGCCTCCGTCTCGATCGGTGCAGTGCCACATGCATGGCCGCAACCGCACGGGCGGGGCAGCAGTCCGAGGTAGAGTTATGTTGCTCCCATCGTACGTAAGGACCACATCCCAGAAATCATTTCGAGCACCCGTCGAAGCAGTGCCTGACGAGTGTCTCCCAGGGCACGACACGTGCAGACCCTCGAGTTTCGGTACTTTTCTCCTGGCGCTCGAAAGTCATAGAAAGGTAGCGGTGAGCGGGCACCGAGCCCGCGGCTCCACGCTCCCCGCGGAAAGAGGGGGCGGGGGGCACGCGGCGAGAGGGGAGGCGCGGAAGACGTTTTATTTGTTGTTGTTTTTTTGCGGTGCCGCCGCCAGCCCACCCGCGCATCGGCCGCACGGAGCCGTCGCGCGCGGCCGCGCGGCGCGGAGACGCGGAGGCTGGGGCGGCGGGGGAGTGGACGGCGGAGGGGCGGGCGGGGGCGACGCGCACGCCAGGCCGCCACGCCACTGCTCGGGGCCACCACGCGTGCCCGAGGCAGACGCCTCCGGGAGACTCCCTGGGCGGGGCGGGGCCCTCGGGGCGACGGGAGCGGCCCGCGACAGGGCCACGTGAAGCTGGGACGGCCGAGCCCCGGGCAGCATGGGCGGAACCCTGCGGACGACGACAACAGCGGACCCACTCTCCTCCCCCTTCTCCCCCTCCCCCTCCTCCTCCTCCTCCTCCTGCTGCTCCTCCTGCTGCTCCTAATCCTCCTCCTCCTCCCCCTCCTCCTCATCCTCCTCCTGCTCCTTCTCCTCCTCCTCCTCCTCCTCCTCTTCCTCCTCCTCCTCCTCCTCCCTCCTCCTCCCCCTCCTCCTCCCCCTCCTCCTCCTTCTGTTGCTCCTCCTCCTCCTCCTCCTCCTCCTCCTCCTCCTCCTCCTCCTCCTCCTCCTCGGGTCGCCTACGGCCCACCCCCCACACACACATGCCCGCTTGCTTACTTCGAGGCCGGTAGCGGCGAGCACGGCACCTTGAGCACAGGCACCGGCTGGTGAGCCACGGGGACCACATCACCGCAGCGCGTCGGAGACGATGTGAGATGACGAGCGAGAGGGGACGTTGGCCTGGCACGCGTGCACGGCACGGGAGGCCACGTGACCCGGCAACGTTGGCCAACACTGTCTGCACCAGCAAACGGTGCGGGCACGAGGTGGCGCAGCCCAGAGCCCACAGCAAGAACGCACGCCCACGCGGGAACGATTACAACGCTATCAGTCGAGCAGCTCTAGGATTTATTCGGGTGTTGCTAGAAGTGCCCCTGGCCCAAGGTACCCCCAGGATTCTCGGGATGGCCCAGACGGCCTCCAGGGGACACCTCACGAGGCCCAGAGGGCCCCAGAGGCTCCAAAATGTAGCAAAAAGCTAGGGGCACCTTGGGCCAGGGGCACCTCTATAAACACCCGATCTATGGCTAAGGATGGGCTGGAGGCAATGATGTGTCCGAGCTATCGGCCCATGCTCTATGAGGAGGGGGGTCTCTAGATTAAGAGCTACACGAACAGCAACTCTCGGGGGTCCGCATAGGCTTCGCCGGGCTGGCGCTCGACACCCTCCACCTGCGCGCGGGGCGCGCCAGAGGCGGCGCTGGAAGGGCCGCCAGGGTGGGTCCAACGCCTTCCCAGGAAATTCGCGCGGACCTCAGCAACACGCATCTACAGTCGGCCCGTATCATAAGGGTGCGCGATAAGGATGCAAGGGCCTTGTGCGCCCATTTCGAAGATTTTTGAGCGGAGCGCGGCCAATGAGAGTGGCCAAGTATGGACCGAGGGGGCAAGGATGCAGAGGGTACCCTTGGGAAGGAGGCCCGTCCTCACGATGCGGGCTGACTGTACTCAGACTTTCATGATCCAAGGACGTGGATCTATTTCCCAACCATCCTGTGGTATTGGGTCCTCGTTTTGAAGAGACGGTGCCCCGCGTCTCCCCTCCTTCCTCCCTCCTCCCTCCTCCTCCTCCCTCCTCCCTCCTCCCTCCTCCCTCCTCCCCCTCCTCCCTCCTCCCCCTCCTCCCTCCTCCCCCTCCTTGCCTTTGCTCTCGGCACACTTCTCACACGTTTCGTAGCCCCGTAGGGAGCTCCACCGAAGGCCCCAGTGGTTGCTCTCGCATGCGTTTCCCCCACCCTGGGCAGCGTTTCGTGGCCCCATGGTTGCTCTCGCATGCGTTTTCCCCACCCTGGGCAGCGTTTCGTGGCCCCATAGGGAGCTCCACCGAAGGCCGCCAATGGTTGCTCTCGCATGCGTTTCCACCACCCTGGGCAACGTTTCGTAGCCCCATAGGGAGCTCCACCGAAGGCCCCAGTGGTTGCTCTCGCACGCGTTTCCCCCACCCTGGGCAGCGTTTCGTGGACCCATAGGGAGCTCCACCGAAGGCCCCAGTGGTTGCTCTCGCATGCGTTTCCCCTACCCTGGGCAGCGTTTCGTGGCCCCACAGGGAGCTCCACCGAAGGCCCCAATGGTTGCTCTTACATGCGTTTCCCCCATCCTGGACACGGTTTCGTAGCCCCATAGGGAGCTCCACCGAAGGCCCCAGTGGTTTCTCTCGCATGCGTTTCTCCCCACCCTGGGCAGCGCTTCGTGGCCCCATAGGGAGCTCCACCGAAGGCCCCAGTGGTTGCTTTCGCATGCGTTTCCCCACCCTGGGCAGCGCTTCGTGGCCCCATAGGGAGCTCCACCGAAGGCCCCAGTGGTTGCTCTCGCATGCGTTTCCCCCAACCTGGACACGGTTTCGTAGCCCCATAGGGAGCTCCACCGAAGGCCCCAGTGGTTGCTCTCGCATGCGTTTCCTACACCCTGGGCAGCGTTTCGTGGCCCCGAAGGGAGCTCCACCGAAGGCCCCAGTGGTTGCTCTCGCATGCGTTTCCCCCACCCTGGGCAACGTTTCGTAGCCCCATAGGGAGCTCCACCGAAGGCCCCAGTGGTTGCTCTCGCATGCGTTTCCCCCACCCTGGGCAGCGCTTCGTGGCCCCATAGGGAGTTCCACCGAAGGCCCCAGTGGTTGCCCTCGCATGCGTTTCCCCCACCCTGGGCAGCGTTTCGTGGCCCCATAGGGAGCTCCACCGAAGGCCCCAGTGGTTTCTCTCGCATGCGTTTCTCCCACCCTGGGCAGCGTTTCGTGGCCCCGAAGGGAGCTCCACCGAAGGCCCCAGTGGTTGCTCTCGCATGCGTTTCCCCCGCCCTGGGCAGCGTTTCGTAGCCCCATAGGGAGTTCCACCGAAGGCCCCAGTGGTTGCTCTCGCATGCGTTTCCCCCACCCTGGGCAGCGTTTCGTGGCCCCATGGGAGCTCCACCGAAGGCCCCAGTGGCTGCTCTCGCATGCGTTTCCCCCACCCTCGGCAGCGCTTCGTGGCCCCATAGGGAGCCCCACCGAAAGCGGCACCCACAACGCGTTACGAACAATTGCTTATGGTTGGGTCCTTCGCCAGGATAATTTTTTGGGGGGTGTCCGATCCGAGCTGTCCTGGAAAGCTTCCGGGGAGTCTGGGCACAACGCCGCCCCGCCATGGCCGGTCTGGGGGGGGTCTCACACTGCTCGCCCGGGAGGTGTGACCGCCCCTTTCTATCATGAGGCTCGGGATCTTTTTCGAGGCTCTGCCTTCGAGCTCGTACTCGATCTTCTGCTTGTGCACAAGCGACTTCATCACGTCGAGGACTATGCAGATGAGGCTGCAGCTGCCCGCTGCCTCCTCCCTCGCGGGAGCACGAGCTCTGCACGAGGCGGGCGGCCCTGGCGATATACTCAGCAGGGGCGGCAGGAGGAAGGGGGAGGGGGTCCTCCTCCTCCTCCTCCTCCTCCTCCTCCTCCTCCTCCTCCTCCTGGCGGGGACTCGGGCTCGGGCTCGACTTTTGGCTCGCGCTCGGGCTCGAGCCCGGGTTCGGGCTCCGGCTCGAGTTCTGGCGCGGGCTCGGGCTCGAGCTCGGGCTCGGGCTCGGGCTCTGGCTCGAGCTCGATTTTTGGCTCGGGCTCGGGCTCCGGCAAGAAGGGGCGCAAGGGGGGATACTAGAGTGCGTGTTGCGCAGCGAATTGGAGGACAGCACAGATACGTCCCACCAGATGCTGGAGCTAGGGATCGCATGGTAGAAATCGGCGAACTCGGAGCACGTAGCACGTGGGGAATCCGCCATCTCGGGACCACTTTGGGGGCTCTCTGGGCTGTCTTGGAGCGTTAGAAGCTAAGAAAGACAAGAATGCTGAAACATTTGCAACACCTTTGGAGCATCAATGACTTTTGCCTCTCCAAGATTTCTTGGTGATTGGGAGCCTCTTGGGCCATTGCAGACGCCTCTTGGGCCGTCTGAGATCCATCGAGGCCGCCTTGCAAGTGGCTCCGGGCCATTTGGGCCGCCGAAAGGAGCTGGCTATCCGCAATCGGACGTGGGCTTGAACACTTTTGGAGGTCTCTGGCGCCGTCTTCGGGGCCTTCTGGTGTCTTAGAGTGTTGGAAACCCGGAAATGCGAGAACATTTAAAACATCGAAGTTCTCACGGGAAGCCTATGTTTTGTTGCGCCTCGGAGCCCTGCTGGGAGTCATGTCAGGTCTCTCCTTGGGCGCACTGGGGGCCTTTAGGCCGGAGAACCCTCGAGGCCGTTTTGGGGGGTGTCTCCGTTTCCGGTATGATGGTAGACACCGCGGCTCCGAATGCCACCCCTGCTCTCTGCAGCCGTTCCTGACCCATCCTCCGTCCACCGCGTATTCGTGTGCCCCCTCAACTTTCCACGCCCAGCCATGCTTCTCATGCATCCTCCCCCTCTTCCTCCTCTCGCTCTTCCTGTCCGAAGTCGCTGCCCCTTTTCACCACCACGCTGCCCCCTCCTCCTGCCCTGAGCCATCGCTCCCTTTTCGTCGCCCCCCTGCGTCCTCCTCCTCTTCGTGCTTCTGCTGCTGCTCTCACTCGCAAAACTCCTCCTCCTCCTCCTCCTGCCCCGCTCGCTTCATCCTCTCACCACTGTTCTTCTGATTCCCCCTGCTTTTTCTTCATCCTTTCCTGCTTTGGCGGGAATGACGTAGTCTCCGAGATACGCAGTACTGATAACCTGCTTTCCACGACCCTTGCCATCCTTGGCGCCCTCGATGATTCCAGGCAGATCAAGAAGCTGGACTTTAGCACCTCCAGAGGGAGGAGGCGGAGGAGGAGGAGGAGGAGGAGGAGGAGGAGGAGGAGGAGGAGGAGGAGGAGGAGGAGGAGGATCAGTATGATTAGCAGGACGAGGAGGAACAGGAGGGTGATGGATGGAAGTAAGCAGGCAATGGGAGAACGCGTAGAGGGTGCCGAGAGAAAATACAGAAAGAGAGGGTACCACTCCTACGAACTCACACCGGCATCCCTGCAGCGCACCGTCGCCATATCGTGACAGTCTGCTTCGGGGCCTTCTCGGCCACATGCTCGAAACGGACACCCGTGGAACTGCACTGGCCGCTGCTGGACGAGAGCGGGTCTACCCATACAGTCGAGTTCTTGCCCGAAGGAATTCGCGTGTGAGACGATTGCCCCTCCCTCGGCCAAACTCCTACCCAAAGGGGCCTTGTCCCGCCGGTTTGAGGGGGGGGGGGACGTCTGGCCCCGGTTGAGCCCACTGCCATTGTGGCCGTGCGCCCTACCGCGGCCACGAGGTCCCCAGATCCCACGGCGGCGCCCAGTCGAAGACGGCCTCTTCCAACAAGGACGGATCTGCATCAACACATGTGCTTGTGAACAGCACGAGACAGCTCTTCCCCATACGCGCAGGAGCACATGTCTTCACACAGGCGAGCATGCATGACATGCTGGTCTCCACAAGTCCAACACGGACTCTTACGCATTACGTGCTGGCGCTATCGTTTTGCATTTCTCTCTCCCGGCCCGTTCGTCACTCCGAGAAGACCAACGCCGACCCTCTGCCGAGTGGCCCTGGAGGAGCGGTGCGCGCGGCGGCGGCAACTACATCCGACGCCCAACCTGGTCGAACTGCAAGGACGCCCACTCGCAACACCAGCGGGGACTCGCGAAAGAGAACCAAGCAGCGGGCACATCAAATTTGGACGCCCGAAATGGGTACGGAAAAGATGGGTACAATGCCCAACAACAAATGTTGTCCCAAAGCAACGGCGGCCGCTGTTGGGCAGGCGGCCTTCTGTCTCGAATTGGTACAGGCCGCGGCGGCGCGGACAGCGAGTCCTGTTCAAAATGAAGAGGAACTGCTGTTGGGCATTGTGCCCATTCTTTCCGTACCCATTTCGTTCGTGCAGATCAAAGCACACAAAGGTGCACCGCCTCCGAAGCAAGAGCCGGCCCGAACATCCATGGGGCAAGATGCGCTTCTGCATTCTCGAGGCCGGGGGCTGGGCCTCGGATGCGGCTGGTAGCGGGGGGCGGCCGGGGCCACATCACGAACCCTGGCGCCGGCCACGGAGCAGCTCCCAAACCGGGGGTCGGCCAGAGCGGACTCGCTGACCTCAGAAATCGCGACATTCGCCCCGACACCGACCGCGGAGAGAGATCCTCCTGGGCGATCTTGCCGAAACACCAATCAGAGAGAGAGAGAGAGAGAGAGAGAGAGAAAGAGAGAGCGAGACAGAGACTCCAGGCCCCCTGGGCGCCCTTGTGGTAGAAGATGCCAGGCACACACGTGAGGGTCGTGAACTCGTAGGACGCCACCTCGCTCTCTTGCCCTGGCGACGGTGGGAGAGTCAAGAGAGAGAGGGGTTGGCCCAGATCCGAAGACCTCGGTCCTTTCACCTGTCTCGTGACGACTGGCTGGCGCCCTCAGCAGGGCGGCGCTTGGCGTTTACTTCGTAGCCTGCCGCGTTCGCCCCCTGCCGAGGCACCTGAGAGTCGCACAGCCTCTCGCCGTCGCACTCTCTCTGCAAGCGATGCCATTCTAACCTCATAGGTACTCGTACTCTGTCCTGGGGGGGGGGGGTGCAGGGGGGAGGGGAATTTCGAGGGACGAGGGATTGTGTGTTGCAAATCCAACCACGTGAGGGACAGGGGAATCGGATTGTGTGTTGTAAGTCCAAGCACCCCCGCCACGGCACCAAGAGCAATCACCTCAACACACGACCGACACATTCGGCAATGGAGAAGCAGGTGCAGCAGGATCACGAGGAGGAGCATGAGACAACATGGCATCGCCCCGGAGAGTCAGCCGCCCTGGAACGCGGGAACAAACCCGCCCCGAGCTGCGGGAACAAAAACGAAAGACGAGCGTCTCCCCAGGATGCCACAAGCCCGAAACACGCTCGCCCTCTCTCACCCCTCACCGCACGGCGGAAGCGGGTCCTGGCTCCTGGGGATCTCCCTGGGAACGACTTCCCATCCTGGCCGTGTCTTGACGGCCTCTGGGCCGGGACAGGCCATGGGAGCACGAAAGCAGCGACCCAGGACCTCCCCCTCGTGCTGCACAGCCACACGTGAGCCTTGCCCCCTGCAGGCCAGCTATCTGAAACACTTGCGGGAGAATGCCACCAGCCCTCTGGGCGTAGGTGGCTTAAAGAGTTTGGAGCCCTTTTAGGCCAAAGGTTGCCCCAGGAGGGCCTCGGAAACACCATTATGGCCTCCAAGAGGGATCAATAAAGCCCAACATGCCTCCAAACCACCCAAAGACGGGTCAAAGTAGCCACGGGGCCTCCGAAGGACGCCCCCGAGAGGCCCAAACCCTTCCAACAATCACAACTTGATACAAACTTCCCTTTTCGCTTCCGATGGGCTTCTGATGCCTCAAGATATCTCCAGTAAGGCTCACTAGCTCCAAGAGAGCTCAAGGATGACTACAGAAGCGCCCCAAGAAAGGCACACTATATATTTGTTCGGCCCCCGAGACGGGTGGACCTTCAGAAATGCGGCCCCCTTTTCTTATCGATGGCCTCCAAGATTGCCTCAAGAGGCAAAGAGAGCCGAAAGAGCCCCATAAGGGTCCACAATGGCCCCAAGAGGGCCCTGAATGTCCGCAAGGAGGCTCCAAGAAGCTCCCAGAGCGAAGAAGAGCACCTCTTCCCCTTCTTTTCTACTCCATACTGCTACGCTTACCTGATCAGGGTAACTCTCCTGGGCATCGTTTGCGGATGGGCCAGTGAGGGCTCGCGAAACGTCCAGAATTCTAGGGACGCCTGCAGCCAGGCAAACCCCCCACGGGGGTGTCCGATAGCCAAGCGCCAACCGGACCCGCAGGCGTGGGGCTCGCAGGCGGTCGTGGGAGGAGGAGGAGGAGGAGGAGGAGGAGGAGGAGGAGGAGGAGGAGGAGGAGGAGGAGGAGGAGGAGGAGGAGGGGGAGGGGGAGGGAGGAACTCGGCTTCCTGGCGTCTGGCGCCAGGCCGACAGGCCTGGCCCGACCCTCTCCCGCCCCCCAGGGGTCGAGGATCGATGCGTGTTGGCCGCTTTGCGGAACCTTTCTTTCCCCTGCGCGCCCCACGGGGAGGTTTACCTCTCCATGCCTGCAAAGGATCTTGCTTGTTCTCTCTCCCTCTCTCTCCTTTTCTCTCTCTCTCTCTCCTTCTCTCTCTATATGTATATATATATATACACATATATCTCCCTTTCCTAACTCGCCTCTCCCCTTCCTGCCTTCTTCTTCCACCCGTCCGAAGGTGCTTGGGGATCCAGATTTTTATGTGGGCAGATGGTTCGAGTGGTCTCCTTTGACATTGGAATCTGGCGGATCAAGCCGCAACGACGTCGGTCGACGCGGGCGTCTCTGGAAGAAGCAGCGGGAGAACGGCAATCAACAATGGCGGCTCGCTCTCGTCTGGGCCCGTGTAGACTTTCCACAGAGGCTCCCGTGGACCTCTAGGGGAAGAGGAGGAGGAAGTTGGAAGTTGACCCTGGGACACACAAACAAATACAGTCAAACGTATATTAAGGACGAATGGTAGGGACGCAAGACCCTTGGAGACCGAAGTTAAGATTTTGTGGGCGGCGGGCGACCAGTGAAAACGGCAAAGGACGGGCCGCAGAGGCAAGGACACAAGGGCACCCTGGATAAAGGCGCGCGTCCTTACTAGGCGCGTTGACCGTAGACACTAATAACCGGATTCCCCTATATTTTCCCATATTTTCTGGGTTTTTGGGGGGCTTCCCCCCCACTTCCCATATATCTTTCCATGTTTCCTGGGGGATCGACGATTCACTGTGTCTGCGTGTTTCTTCCCTCCTGAGAAGGAGGAAGTTGAAGCAGGAGGCCTGTCATCTTGTTCAGCAGCGTGGACTTGCCGACAGAGGGGAAGCCCACGAGGCCCACGCGCGCGTCCCCGGTCTTCGACACCTCCGCGGGCAGTGCGAGGGCGGGCCCGCGGGGTGGGCCCGGCCGCCACGGCCAAGCCCTTCTTCTCCTCCTCCTCCTCCTCCTCCTCCTCCTCCTCCTCCTCCTCCTCCTCCTCCTCCTCCTCCTCCCCCCCTAGCAAAATGTCGACATGGCGGTCAAACTTTCGCAAGTCGGCGCTGGCTCTCCTCCTCCTCCTCCTTCCGCACGCCCCTGGAGTTTCACAGTGCGCGAGCCCGTCCCCAGCTCTCTCGCTCCCCCATGCCCCCCTGCCCCCCCTCCCCCTCTCTCCGCCCGTCCCTCTGCACCCCCTTCGGGGGGGCTACTGACCCGGGTCAGTCTAAACCTGGGTCAGCCGGGCCCTGCAGGATCCTGCAGGATCCTGCAACCTGGCCAGGGTCAATGTAGCAATGGCTCTGCAGGATTCTGCAAGACCTGGCGTTCTGACTGACTCCTCTTTGCATTGACCCCCGTCTCGGGGCTCCCGACCCCTTCGTCCTCCCCGCATCCCCAGCCTCAAGGAGGGCGAGGGCAAGGACGGGGAGTCCCTCCTCGCCCTCCACCTCGGTCTCCACCGGGAGACCCACCTCGGCCAGGCCCCCATTCGTCCTCCCCGCCTCCCCAGCCTCAGGGAGGGCGAGGGCAAGGACGGGGAGTCCCTCCAACTCGGTCTCCACCTCCTCCCCGTCCCGAGGCGGCGGAAGCCGATGCGAGAATCGAGCACCCTCCTTCGTGATCAGCGGGCGTCAGCCGAATCAAACCCGACAAGACGGCTTTTGGGTGGTGGCTGGGTCGTGTTACTCCGCGTCGCGATAGGTCCACTCTACTCGATTCCTTCCTCCCTCCCTCCCTCCCTCCCTCACTCTGGCTAGCACGGGGGAAACAGGCCCTCAGGGGAACGGGTCCCTGGTGCCTTCCCTCAAGACGAGTTTATCATCCCGAGCCGTCTCCTGACGGCTCCAAGGGGCCCCGAGGGGCCCCCCAAAACGGCGAGGAGCCTCCGGACCCGTCTTTGTCCGCGGACCCGCTTCCCCCGTGGCGACTCCCTCCCTCACGCTCCCTCTCTTCTCCCTCCTCGGCAGCGAGCCCATGGGGGAGGGAGCAGGAGAAAAATCCCTTCTCAGAAGGCTCGGAAGTCCCCCGGCCTCCTGAGACATGTTTTCTGAGCCTTCCCCCAAGACGCAGAGAACTTCTCAGAAGGCGCGAGGGCTTCCGAGAAGTCCTGCCGCCTTCTGAGAAGGCCCTCTCCTTCTCACCTCCCCGCTCGCCTGCCGCCGAACTCCAGTGCCGGTTCGGGCTCCAGTGGGAGGGCGCGCGCGCAGCCATCACCTCCCCTCGGGAACGCTGCTTTCGTCCGGAGCGCAGCGGGGGGCAGCACAGGCAGGGAGGCACCTGCGCGCAGAGACGAGGCACGAACTGCATGCGCGCAAACTCGCGGAGCTCCGCGCGGGCTTCTCGGCTCGGCGCTGGGCCACCCCTGGCGCTGTGGCACCCGAGAGGAGGGCAATCCCCAACTTGGCCTAACCCCCGACGTCTTACCAGCCTGGAACATATCCCTATCCCTGTGCTGGGCACCTCCTCATCATGATGCCAATCTTAGGGATTCCCTTACTTTTTGAGGGCGAATCCCTAAGATTGTCATCGCCTTTTGGCGTGTCAATCTTAGGGATATGGATACGTTCGAGGCTGGTAAACGTCGACCCCTCTCCGTTCCATAGCACAGCTTGGAGCGTGCCCGCCCGTGGAGGAGATCGTGGACTGAAACATCGGCGGTGGAACGAAAACGGCCCGGAATCGAAACCGACGGGCCTGGACCCGCAAACAATGACGGCCGCGACGCCCTCGCGAACCGAAAACGGCCAATTCGCTCATCGACGTGGCCGAGTAGGAGGTTCACCAATCTCCGAAGGAGAGGAGAAGGTGTGGGACAGTTCACGCGGGCAGGCACCACTCCTGTGGAGGCGCCTCGCGGACAACATCGCTCAAAGGAGGAAAAGGAAGGGGCCCAGGGACACACACATAAATACACACAAATAAGAGGACTCCCCATACTTTCCATTTTTTTCTAGGTTTTCGTCTTCCCCCCCACTTCCCATATTTTCCCATATCTTCTGGGGATTCGACGATGACTTGCGCCTGAGAAGAGGAAGTGGAGGGGGGGACTTGCGGCTCAGGCCAGTTTCATGCCGTCGGGCCGCTGACATGCGGAACGCTACACAAAGAACGGATCCCCCTGTAGGCCCCCAAACAGCCGTCGTTCACGAGGAGGGCTGGAGGAACAGGCATGGAGATCCCAAACTCGGGGATGGACAGACCTCCCTTTAGTAAAACCTGGTAAAGTGAAAACGACCCGAGGCCCAAACCTGGCGGGCGCAAGCCTGGAAAATAACGGCCACGGCGCCCTCTCGAGAACCGAAAACTGACAATTCACTAATCGACGTGTCACTGTTGGGGGTTCTGTCCACCTCCGACAAACTGCTCCTCACTTCAGCGTCTTGACTGCAGGCCTCCCTGGCCAGGCCCTCCCTCCCCCCCCTCTCTGGTTGACCCCAAAAAGGGGTTCCGGCTGAAAGGGGGCTGTGCAACAGGTCTTGGGCAGCTGTGCTGCACATGTGCTGCGCCAGAGAGTCGTATTGCATCGTCTTGTAACTAATGTACTGCACGCGAAGATCCAGCAATACATGTGCGGTCTTGAAGGTGTCGCACGCCCCAGATCACCCCCGTTCCGCTGGACACCTTTTTTTTCGGCGGCGAGCGAGGAAGGGAAGTGAAAAGGGGCGCGCCTCCTCAGAAGGCTCGGAAGTCCCCCAGCCTTCTGAGAAGTTTTCCCGAAAGCCTTCCCCAGCGACGCAGGAAACCTCGCGGAGGGCACGAGGGCTTCTGCGCAGCCCAGCCCCCTCCTGAGAAGGCCTTCTCCTCCTCGCTTCCCCCCCTCGCCCACCGCCGACTTCTTGGGCCCATCGGGGGCGACGATGGGGGCGAATAGCCCAGGGGAGAGCAGCATACATGTATCCAGGGGCGCGCCCGTGGTCCATGCCTTCGGCGAGGCTCCCGGGCGAATGCGTGTCATCCCCGCCCCTGGGCCTTAGTGGGCCCTGGAAACGGCAGGGCCGTTTTTACCGGTTCCGTTTTGCCGTTTTTGTTGCCGGTGCCGACGCCGTTGTTTTACCGGTTCCGTCGCCGTTTTTTGACCAGTTCTGGCTCCGGTTCCAATCCTGGAGCCGTCTTTTTGCCGTCTCCGGTCGCCGTGCTTTTGCCGCTTCCAATTTCAAGGGGCATTTTTTGGCAACGGTGGAAAACACGGCCCTGCCGTTTCCGGGGCCCACACGGCCCTGGGCTACTTTCGTCCCCATCGCCGCCTCCGAGTCAAGCAGGGCCCTCGCCCTCCTTCTTCCAGACCTTCCGTGCTGACCTTCCACGATCGTGCGCTTTATAGTTCTCTTGCGCTTCCTGAGGCTTTCAAGAGCTTCAATGCATCACCTTCCGCGCCTTCCGCAGAGGTCGGAAGGTACGGATTTGGGTACCGAACAAATGAGTACAGTGCCCGACAGCAAATTTTGCCCCAAACCAGCAGCGGCCGCCGTTGGGCAGGCGGCCCTCTGCCTCGAATGGACACGGGCCGCGGCGGCGTGGACCGCGAATCCGGTCCAAAAGGAACAGGCACTGCGGTTGGGCCTTGTGCCCATTCTTTCCGTACCCATCTCGGGCGGCCAGAATGGAAGCTGGAGGTGGCGGGGGAGGCCCGCTCCGCCCCCCCCCCCCCCGCGTGCAGCGCTCCCTGGGCGTGGCTTGATGGGGGGGTCATTGATGGGGGGGGTCAGAAACGGTCCCCTTTCCTGCCCTTTTCGGGCCCCTCTGGAGCCCCGGGGGGCTCGTTTAGGTACCGTTGGGGTACCTTTTCGGACCACCCTCGCCACACCCCCATTCATGATCCCCCCGTTACGTGACGCCCAAGCTCCCCCCTCTCGGCGCGCTTCGGGAGCGGGCGCGCGCGCGCGGCCCCGGGCCTCGAAGGCCGCGGCGCCGCCGCCGCCGCCCGAGCCCTTCTGCCCCTCGGTGATGACCGAGGCGCGCAGCTTGGCGAGCTTGGCCTTCGCGCGGGCCGCCGGGCCCGGGGACGCACGGGGAACGGGCACGAGGAGGAGGAGGCACGAGGAGGAGGAGGAGGAGGAGGAGGAGGAGGAGGAGGAGGAGGAGGAGGAGGAGGATTACGCTGTAAGGATTACGCAATGTGGCCGTCCACCCGGCACAGCTCGCAGCTCGGCATCGCAGCACCAAGGGGAAAGTCGGAACCAACACCAAGACCCTGGTGCCGAGAGAGCCGTCTTCAAATTCATCCAGCGTGCTCCAGAAACGCTTTGCCGGAGCACGCTGGCAAGCAAGGAATCCACCAACCCAGCCATGGGCCATAAACCACGAAACCATCGATTAACAAGTGGCTCGGCAACAGGCCGGCGTTAAAACTGTTAAACAGATTCCGGACATTCCAGGGGTTCAAAAGGTCGCGGAATCGGCTTCAATTCTCAAGCGCATCTCACGCCAAATCTGGCGGGCACGGATCGTCCGCGCCGCCGACAAGCCACTCTGCCGCCTCGTCCTCTGGGTCGAGGGGCCTTGCCACAGGCTGAGAGGAGTCGCCAGGAATCAACGTGGGAGCACCGTCCTGAGCTCTCGACGCCGCCACAGCCGATGGGGCAGGTCCTCGGGCCCCAAGATCCCCCGCCACAGTCGCTTTGGCCACCTCTTCAGCACAAACGCGCGCATGCAACGCCTCGAGGACCGATTTAGGGGGGGCCCTCGCGGCGTGGGTACTGGTCTCGCCTGATGCGAGCTAAATTCTCGGCTCCTTTCCGTGATCTCCCAAGGCATCTGGCCTCGAGATGTCTGAAATCTTCCGTCGCATACCTACCGCATTCGTGGCAGAACACCATGCAATACTTGGGCCACTCTCCAAGTCTGTGAGTGCTGTGCAGCTCCCTCCCGCCCAGGCCCCTTAAAACACCCTCGCCCACAGCCCTGGGGGCCCTGTTCAGGACGGGGGGGGGGTGGGACAGGCGGGGCTGGCGGAGGTACGCACGCAGTGCTGCAGAACTCCAGCAAGCTCGAGGCATGCACTCGCTGGTTGCACACCTCGCATCTCCATTTAGCGCCGTCCTGGGCCATCTGGTGGCCCGTTTCGCGGAGAGCTATCTTCACGCCGCTCTCGCGGGCCCCGCGAAGCGCGATATCTTCGCGCTCGGCCCGGGTCGTGTCGCAGTCCTGGGCAAGTTGTAAGGCCTTGGACGCTCGACGTCTGACAAGAGCGGCAACAGCATCCCAACTGTCAGCGTGGGGAGCAGCATGCATGACGAACCCCTCCCAAGCCCGATCCGCCGCCTCCCCCGCCCCATGGTCGGCCGTGGCATTGCCCACAGCAAGGAAGAGGTCCCTATCTGTGACCAGACGGCCCGCGTCCTCCTCTTCAGCGTGAGAGGGGACCCATTCCAGAGAGACCTCGCGGCCTTCGGCCGCCGCGCGAATTCTCGCCCAGAGATCCTCGTTGGGCCCCCTGGTGACCTTGCGCCTTCTCCGGGGCCAGGCTTTTAAAAGGCCCTGATGGTCCGTCACGAAGTGCACCGATCCCGTTGTCTGCTCAAGGGCCATCGCCAGGGCCAGCGTCTCCGATCGGGGCACAGACTGTCGGCAGCCAGGGAGCGGCGCGGCTATCGTCGCCCCCAGGCACCAGCTATCTTCACGCCAGGCCAGGGCAGCGACAGCAGCTCCACACCTACGGCGACGCTGATCGTCCGAGCGCTTCCCTCCCGACCCGTCCCCAAACAGCGTCAAAACCCCGTCCCTCCGATAGTCACCCAGCTCACCTACCCCAAAGAACAAGGTTTCCTGAGCCAATCGCTCTTCATCGAACCTGGGGGTGGTGAGGTGGTTCGGCACTAGGCCTCGCAGCCAGACCGAGGGCTCACTCTCTACACTGGCCAGCGCCCTCGCCACCAGGTGCTCCGACTTGGCGAACTCACTGCCCTCGCTGATGTTCTCCGTGCACTTCCAGATCCTGTGGGTCAGCGTCTCTGGCTCCAGCCCGCATCTCGGGCAGGTGGCGCTGACAGCATAGCCGCGCTCTCGCTTCCTGGCGCGGCTCCACTGCCCGCCGATTATCACTGCCATCGTGCGACTCCACTCCGCCCACATGCCTCTTCGAGCATATCGGTCGAGCTCGCGCCTCGCATGCAGCATGTCCGCGCCGCCCCCCAAGTTGCCGCCGTCCTCGTGGGCCGCCGCCTGCTTCCACAGCTGGCGCATGATGTCCTCGCGGAGGTCGTGCAGGATGGGCTGCCGATCGATGAAGCCCCCAAAGGCCTCCGAGCTCGACTCCACCAGGTGCCACTCCGTGATCGTGCCGTCCACCTCTGGCCTGCTCCACGTGCCAGCAGTGCGCGGATCCCAGCCCACGTCCATGAGCGTTGCCACGAGTGCGCCGACAGGGCCACGCACGCGCCGCCAGCGCCGGGCTGCGCCGGCGCTCAGGAGCGCGCCGCGGATGGCAGGCCAGACTCTATGGATCCTCGCATGGACCTCAGGCGCCGTCTCCCAGAGCTCCAGCCACGAGTCTACCAACTGGATGCGCAGCTTGATGGCTGGGTCCTCCTCAAGCCCCGCCGCCAGGACCGTGGTGAGGCAACGTCCGCCAGCTTTGCCTCCAACTGCCGCGCCCGCCTGCTGCCTCAGCTTCCTGACGCTCGACGGCGCCAGGCCCTGGAGCTGGTGGCCGTAGGTGGCCTGTGGAGAAGCCCCCGTGCTCCACAGCCCCTGCGCCTCCTTGGCGAGAGCCGCGCTCCTCCTCATTCTCGTGATGCGGCTAGCGCGTCTGCCGGCCGCCAGCAGCCTCTTGCGCTGCTTCTTGCAGCAGCGCCTCCGCCCAGGTCAGTGGCGTCCAGCGCCAACTGCAGCGGCAGAGCAGGCGACTCCAGTTCCGCCTGTAGCTCTCGGCCCAGTTGCGTGTCCGACACCAGCAGCTTGGTCTTGTTCGAGATGATCAGGCCTCGCTCCTCGACGAAGCCCTCCACGAACTGGGTCGCCACCTGCTTCATCTCCTGCTTCACCATCTGACGAGATCCCTCGCACCGGGCCGTCGTGTCGTCCACGAATGTCCAGAGGGACCCCTGCGGGGCCACCTGGTGGGCCTTTTCCAGCACCCCGTGGATGAACACCTTGGCCAGGGATACCCCCCTCGCCGACCCCGCCACCGCCGAGCGCGTCGGCCAGACCAGCTCGCTGATGCCGTGGCGCTGGTCCTTCAGGATGCGAGGGCCCAAGAAGAGCTCCACCTCCATGGCCACGACGATGGCAGGGTACTTCACCTGCACTGCCAGCTCCATGAGCAGCGCCAGGCTGATCGCGTCGTAGAAGGTCTGGAGGTCGAGGAGGAGAGTGGCCGACGCCAGCTGCATCCCCCTGCCCACCTCGTCGAGCAGGGCACGGTACAGCGCAGCCCTGAGCGCAGAGCACCCTCGCAGTGCGCCGTCCCAGAATGCCCCGAGCTGCTCTGTCCAGTTGTCCACGATGCCGCCTCGAGCTTTGCTCCATATTTTGGGCACAAGGGCAATCATGCCCAGCGCCCTGTCGCCCCCAGCAGGCTTCGGAACCGACGCCGCCACCACCGCCATGCACTGGCGAGGCCAGACGCCCTGGGCCTCGGCATCGTTCATCAGCTGCCTCAGCTCCTCGCGCGCTTCGTGCGGAAGCCTCTGCACATCCGTCCAGCTCAGCACGTCCGCGCCCATCCCCTTCCTGCCGTTTATGGAGTTCAGCGCCCTGTCGAACTCCTCCTGCTCCACTGGCGGGTAGTCCTCCTCCTTCGCTACCTCCAGGGTCCTCTGCAGCTGCACCTGGATGTCCTCCAAGCTCACCTTCGGGTCTTGCCGCAGCCCTCTCCATTTGGACGCCCGGTCATTCATGATCGCCGTAGGGTCCGCCGTGGTGGAGGTGCCCGTGCAGATCTCGTTGATGATGGTCGGCTCGTCTTTCACGTGCTTGTGCAGCACCCCCATCTTGTCGCTCCACATCTCCTTCGCCCACTTGGTGTAGGCTCTTCGTGCTTCCCCCGTCGCGCGCGCCTGCCCTGCCGCCGCCAGCGTGCCCGTCAACTCGAGCAGCTTCTGTCGGTGCGCCGCCGAGAGGGTCTCGACCTTGACCATCATCTTCTGCCAGACCATGAAGCGCGCGCTGCCGAAAAAGTCTGCCATGCCCTGGTCCAGCGTCTCCTCGGCGATCCTCTTGGGCTTGCAGCTCACCCGGCCTCGCTGAGCCTCATCGCGCCTGCCGCGCGCGAGCGTCTGGTACCTCTGCATCAGCGTGAGCGCATAGCACATGGCGTCAGACTTGTGGCACTTCATGTTTGCCCTGCCTGGCGTGACCTTCGCTTTCACCCACTTCAGGTCGAAGCCCCTCCCGCGCCCCAGGTAGCGCGCCTTCTCCGGCTCCTCCACCTCGTGGACGGCCAGCAGTGCGAGCTCCAGCTTGCTCACCCAGTTGCCGTACCTATGCGAGAGGTCCTTCTCCTTCTCCTCGCGGCCCTGGTAGGCGACGTGGTCGTCCAGCTGCTGCGCCGGGCCCGTGTACGTGCCCACAACGGGCCCTGGAAATCCTGTCTGCGCCAGCTGCTCTTCCGCCTGCCTCCAGCACTCCAGTGGCACCTGGAAGGGCGCCTTGGGCTCCTGGCAGACCTCATCCTCCTCGTGCAGCTTCGCGAAGGCCTCCTGCTCCTTCGGGGGGAGTCTCGACTTCCTCTCCTGCAGCTTCTTCTGTTTCATCTTGCTCGTCTTGCTGTTGAGGTCCGCGCTCTTCCTCGGCCTCTGCGTCCGCGGCGGCGCCCTGGGCACCACGAGCGCCCTCACCCACCATTCTTGGTAGGAGCCCTTGAGTGTGATGAGCAGCGCGCAGTGCACCTTCCAAGGCACCTCCAGCTCCGCCTCTACCATCACCTGGTCCGCAAAGTCCTTACGCACCAAGCGGTAGTCCAGCAGAGACCCCTGCTCCCCTTTGGCGCACGTTACCTTCGCCCCCTGCGGCGTCTTCACCACCCCGCCAACCTTCTGCGGGAACTCGCTCTTCAGCAGCTGCTCTGGGTCCAGGTTCCAGTCCGCCGCCGCGATCCACGGGTCGTCCACGGCCTTCAGGAAGGCAGCCAGGCTCGCCAACTTCTGGGGGTTCGGGGACCCCTTCCCCCACTGGGGCGCCATGCACGCCGTCACGTAGACCACATTGCCCGCCTTCGCGTGGATGGTGGTCGCCACGAACCCGCGGAAGGGATCGTCTCTGCCTCGCTGCTGTGCTGCCACTCGCACATGATCAAACGAGGTCGTCTCCAGATGCCGCCTCGCTATATCATCTCTCCACCGCAGCACCCCGTCTCACTCAGCCCAGACGGCCGCGCTGCCGTGGCCGTGGTCTTCCAGCCGTCCCGATCGAGGTCGACCGTGACCTTCTTCTGCTTGTCGGGCAAGAGGTGGGTCTCGCAGATGCCCATCGCACTTTCCCGTGGGTGTCGCTCCTGATACTCGTTCACGTACTTGTGGGCCTGTGGGCCCCACTTCTCCATATTCGCAAAGAAGAGCTGGCGATCGCCAGCCGTGCCTGACGGTGGCCTCGCGTCAGGACGTAGATCGTCAAAGGTGCGACGGTCTATCCTGGCTGGCAGCTGCTCCACTCTTGCCTGCGCCTGCGCTCGCCCCAGCAGCAGGAGCGCCAGCAGGAGCCGCAGCAGCCCCCGCAGTGCCTGGCTTGCCCTTGCCGCCCCCCTTGGCGACAGCGACGGCGCGCTCAGCCTTGACCTTCGCCTGGTAGTCCAGCAGCACCTGCTTCCTCCTCTGGGCTGCCTCGGCGTCTGGGGCAGCCGCTGGTTCCGCGGCCGTGGCTCCTGGCTCCGCCGCTGGCTGCTCACCGGGCTCCTTGGCGGCTTCGCCGGAGGCCGCCTGGCCGTCCTCCGTCCTGCGCTTCTTCCGGAGCTGCTTGCGCAGGCTGGGGAGCTGCTCGACTTGCTGCACCAGGAGCTGCTGGTGCTGCTCCGCCTGGTCGCGCAGCTGCTTCGCCTCCTCCGCGTGTTTCTGGCGAACCTCTGCCTGCTGCCGAGCGAGCGCCGCCTCTGCCTCCTCGATCTTCTGCAAAGATGTTTTCCCCGCCTGCTGGATGTCTGCCAACTTGGTGCGGAAGGCCAACACCGCCTCCTTCTCTGGGCCGTCCTCGTCGTCCAGGTTGGCGTCCAGGAGCCGGTCATCCACTGAAAAGTCCAGGATCGTCTGCACTTCAGCCTGCGCAGGCTCCTCCCCCTCAGCCTTGACGAGCTCTCCCTTGCCCACCTGCTTGTAGTAGGCCGCCGAGGCCTTCGCGCGGGCTTGATCCGCATCGAAGGCGTCCTCCAAGGCCTGGTCGCGGCGGAGGAGCGCCTCATCGTGGAGGATGGACAAGCGCTCGAGCTCGTCCTCGCACTCCAGCAGCCACTTCTGCGCCTTCTGATGCTGTCCCTTGGCCTTCGTGAGCGCCTGCCATGCATCAGGTGGCCTCGGCTGGGGCGGCGGCGGCGCATGCTTGCGCTGGAGTTCCTCGATCTCCTTGGCCAGCTGCTTGTTCCTCCCTGCGAGGAAATCCAGCGCCGCCGCCTTGCCATCGCTTTCTCCTGGCTTTGGCCCCCACCACGCCGCCGCTGAGCTTCCAGCGTGCTGCTGCCCGTAGTGGTTGCTGCGCCAGGGCGGCTTGCCCTGGAACCGTTCCAGCCACGCGCCGCACTTGCACTGCCCTCCTTGCTTGTCCAGCCGCCAGTTGTACACCCATTGGCCACACTCATTGCAGACTGTGAAGGGTTTACTCTTGGGCATTCTCAAGCTGAGCCCCAACGCTGTTTCACTGGCCTGTCCAGTCGCGTCGCGTATCTCAGCACGCTCAAGATCCCAAACGGCTTGAGCCAGGAGGAGGAGGAGGAGGAGGAGGAGGAGGAGGAGGAGGAGGAGGAGGAGGAGGACGGGGAGGTGGATGGGAATGGGCACACGTCCAGGGATCATCCGTACCTGTGGGGCTGTCGTCTCCCCCCCCCCGCTTCCCATGTTTACCCATCACCTTCCTTGGGCACGACACTTTGTTGTGTCTGTCTGTGTGTCTTTCCCCTCCCGAAGCACCAACCGCCCCTGACAATAACATCCGGGGGACACGTAAAAGATCGGGGCCCCGGGGGGATATATGGTACACGAGTTGTCCCGGAAAGTGGTACGTGGGATGTGTGGCGACGACGACGGTGAGGATCCTTCAGATCTTTGGAGCTCCTCGAGGAGGCCTCTGTTGCGAACAATGGTGAGAATCTACGATCGCCCTGTCACCCTGCCACACGTTCGTGACTTGGGGAAGTTGACCTCGTGATAATATCAAGTATATCCCTGTCACACGTTCGTGACTAGGGAAAACCGAAATTCTGATAATCCCATAGCCGTGCCACACGTTCGTGATGATGCTGCTACTCAACATAGGAAGATAGCAACTTCGACTCGAAACTTTCCCCCGCGACGATGCAGTTCGGCCTTGCCACCCCTCTCCCTCGACTGACTCTGTCTCGGCCGGCGAGAGCCAACTCTCGGGGGGGACAAGGGGGGCATGATTCGTTGTCCGGGGTACTCGCTTAGAGGCCTCCTAGACGGGGGTCCGTGGGGGCGGGGGACCTCGCCGCGTCGCCGATACATCGGCGATGCACTGGCGACTTCGGCGTTGCACCGGCGACGCCAGCGCGGAGAACATTGGGGCCCCCAAGCGGCGACGCGGCGCGATCCCTCCGACCACTTTGAGCTCCGACCCGATCTAGGAGGCCGGGCGAAAGGGGGGGATAGCAAAGGGGGGGGGTTTGAGAATCGGCTCACGCAGCTGATTTGCCAGGCGCCTCCCGGTGCCGGGAGGCGCCCATGGAGGCATGGGCCCGGCGGCGGGGCCGAAACCAGCTGCATGCAGCAGATTTCGTACCCCCCCCTTTCTCTATCCCCCCCCTTCGTTCGGCCCGAATCTAGGAGGCTTAATGTTATGTCGGGCGTGTCCCCCTACAGGGGGATTTTCTATGAAAAATTAAAAACACCCCAAAAATGCACCAAGAAGGTGAAACAATACTATAACAATAGTCCCCAGACTATTTTGGCACTATTTTTTGTATATTTTTGGGGTATCTTTTATTTTTCGTCGAAAATCCCCCTGTAGGTAGGGGGACAGGCCCGACCTAAGCCTAATGTGTTGGGGGGGTCAGGGGCGCTTCTGCGTCGCCAGCGCGGCAGGGGCGGTCCGCGCGCGCTCGGGCGAGCCTGGGCAGCGGAGAGCGTAGATGGACCAGCGGCAGGAGGGGGGGAACACAGGCGAAAAATAGGTCGGGCGTGTCCCCCTACAGGCGGATTAATGGATGAAAAATAAAGCATGTCCCAAACATGTCCCCCAAATGCGCAAAAATGGTGAAACAGATCGTCTCCAGACTACTGTTGGCCTGTGGTTGATTCTTCCCCCTGTGGAGGGACAGGCCCGAGCTAAGGCCAAAGCGGCCGCGAAGGAGGAGGGAAGGAGGGGGAGGCCACTCCCGTGGCGAGGAGCGTCGCCGTGGAGCGGTCGGGGGGGGGCCGGGGGGGGAGCCCGGGAGGCCCTCGCGCCGCGAAGAAGCCACGAAACGAGGTCTGTGGGCCACTCTCGGCTGCTCCGGGCGCCCCTGCTGGGCCCCCCCGGGGCCGGCAGGAACGGCACGGGCGGAAACGCCTACGTGCCCTCTGCCTGCCTGCCTGCCTGCCTTCCTGCCTGTGTGTGTGTGAGTGTGTGTGAGTCTGCCTGCCTGCCTGCCTGCCTGCCTGCCTGCCTGCTTGCCTGTCCGTCTGTCTGTCAGCCTGTCTGTCTGTCTGTCTGTCTGTCTGTCTGTGTGTCTGTCTGTCTGTCTCTGTCTGTCTCCGTCTGTCTCTGTCTGCCTCTGTCTGTTTCTGTCTGTCTGTCCCCGAGAGCGGGAGAAGGCAGCCGCCCGGTCGAGACACAGAGCGCGCGGCGACTTGGAGTACCAAGACGACGACGGGCGACGCTGGCTCGATGTCACGGCACGACACCCAGCCGCGGGAACACAGGCCGAAGTCCGAGTGGCCGCCCGCCGGGATGGCGAGGCCAGCAGGATAGGGGCGAACGCGGCAAGCACTCGCGCTGCCCAGGCGAGCGCCTGGCCACATCCGTCCCAAAAAGGTTGGGGGAGAACCGAGGCCTGCCTCTGGCTGCAGCCCTAAGTGCACAAGCGGGACGGCCAGGAGCAGCAGCGCGAGCTGGCCCGCGCCCGGCGGGTGCTCAGCTGCGAGCCCTCCTCCTCCTCCTCCTCCTCCTCCTCCTCCTCCTCCTCCTCCTCCTCCTCCTCATCCTCCTTCCAAAGCGAGCTTGCGCGTCAGCGGCGCGCCGCCACGGGCCTGCGCAGAGGGGCGCCAGCGGGCGGCGCGCCGCTGCGCAGGAGGCAGCGGCAACGCGCGCCGCCGCGGGCCCGCGCGCGGCGCGCCCGAGAAAGCTCCTGGCGACCGCGCCCTGGGCCGCTGCGCGGCGGGCGCCTCTGCGCCGATGAGGGCGGCAACGAACAGTTTTTCATTCGCGGGTCGAGAGCGCACCTCTTCCGGTCGAAGCTAAGCGGGCCGCGCGATGCTTGACTTAACAAAGAGGGGGGAACAGAAGGAGCGCGGCCTCACGGCAAGGCGCTTGCAAAGGAACGCCTTGTACAGGAACCAGGTGGCGAAGTACCACGGCGGCTGCGAACGGGGGCCCCCGCAGATGCCAGCTGCGCGCCGCGACTGGCTCGCCCCGGCGCCTCCGAAGGCTGCGACAGCGCCAGAGCCCGCAGCGCGGGCGGGCGCCGCGGAGCTGCCGAGCAGGCTCGCCGCGGCGCGGGCGACGCGGCGGCCGCCGCGCAGGGCGGGCGCTGCCAAGCGACGCGGGGCGCGGCGGGCTCCCGCCCGGCAGCCTCGTTCGCCCCGCTGCTTCCCCCTCCTCCTTTTCCTCCTTCCCCATCTTGGGCGCTCCGGACCGCGCGCTGGCCTTACTCCGCGTCATGGCCCTCGTTCCCCGGGCGCGGCTGGGGCGCGCCCTCGAGGCGTGGCTGGTTGGCGGACCAGCAACACCGACGCCTGCGAAAGCGCGCGTGATCGTGGGTCTGCTGACCGCCCACGTCTCGAGTCCAACGGCTGACATCCCGGGAACACACGCCCTGCCTAACCCCTCAAGCATCCCCCTTCTCCCCGCGGCCTCTGCCGCAGCTTGGCACCCACTGGCCACGGGCACGTCGGCCGAGAAGGCTCAGGAACTGTCGTCTCTGGGAGTGCCTCGCGGCGCTCCTCGGAGCCAGGCCCCGAGTGTGAGTCTGTCTCCTGTCTGTCTGTCTGTCTGTCTGTCTGCCTTGTCTGCCTGTCTGTCTGTCGAACGGGCAGCCCTGCGGACGCCCCCTGGACAGCTGAGGCTACCACGGCGCCGCCTGCCGGAACGGCGGCGGCGTCGTCGCAGGCGCGCGCGGCTCGCGCGTCGGCTTGGAGGACTGCTGCGAGGGTGGCGACGCGAACGGCCTCTCTTCGAACAGCGCGTCCCTGCACGGGACAGGCAGCCGCCAGGCCGGGAAACGGAGCGCGCGGTGCTCCACCTGGAGCACCAGGACGACGGGCGGCGCTGGCTCGACGTCACGGTCCGGCACCCAGCCGCGGGAACACAGGCCGAAGTCCGCGTGGCAGCTCGCCGGGATGGCGAGGCCGACAGGAGGGGAGATCGCGACAAGCACTCGCGTTACCCAAGCGAGCGCCTGGTCCCCTGTCGTCCTGGAGGTCGGAGGGAGACTGGGCGCGGAGGCCCGCCTGTGGCTGACGGCCGAAGGGAACAAGCAGGACGAGCAGGACCAGCAGCGCGAGCTGGCCCGCGCCCGCCGGGTGCTCAGCTGCGGGCTGCAGAGCGAACTCGCACGCCAGCTGCGCTCCTCGGCGGGCCGCCGCCGAGGCGCCAGCGGCGAGCGGCGCGCGGCGGCGCAAGAGACGCCGGCCCCGCGCGCCGCAACGGGCCTGCGCTGGCGCGCCCGAAGGCTTCCGGCGACGACGGCCGCGGCCGTCGCGCAGGCGGGCGCCGCGGAGGCCGGCCACGACGGCGCCAAAGCTGCGGCGCAGGCGGGGAGCCAGCGCGGGCCCCATCGCCGCTGGGCCGGCGAGCAGGCTCGGGGCGGCGCCGGCGACGCGACGGCCGCTGGCCAGGGCGCGCGCTGGCCAGGGCGCGCGCCGCGCGCGGCGGGCTTCAGCGCAGAGCCAGCGCAGAGCCGCGCGCGGCGCGGCGGGCGGCACGGCGCGGGAGCGCGGCGGGCCTGCCGGGCGGCTCATGAGCAGCGCGACAGGGGCGCGGCGGGCCTTCTGCCCGGCAGCCTCGCGCTTCCCATGCCTCCTCGCCCTCCGCCTCTCGGCCCCGGACCACGGCGCGCTCCTCCGCGTCGTGGCCTTCGTCCCCCAGGCGCGGCTGGGGCGCGCCCTCGAGGCGTGGCTGGGGGGCGCCCCAGCGACGTGGGAGCCCAGGAGATGGAGTCTGTCTCTGTCTTTCTCTCTCTCTCTCTCTCTCCCTCTCTAACCCTCGGGCGAATTTTCTCTTGACGCCGGTCCACGGGCCAACGCCAGCTTGAAGACAGTCGCCTGTCAGTGAGGGCGAGGCGATGTGGGTCTGCACCGCATAGATGGCGCCACGTTTGATTTCCTACCAGACCACCCCAACCCAACCGGAAGACCCCAATTTCGGGTTGGGGGGGGTACGGGTTCCATACGTGTTTTTTAAGTGTTCCCCGACCCCCCCAACTGGAAATGGAGGGCAAATTGAGGCCTTCGGGTTGGGTTGGGGTGGTTGGGTGGGTGGTGAGTTGCTGACGCCACATAATTTTCACACCGCATAGCTTGCGCCCGCTGCATGCTTAGCGGTGCTGCGCTCAATGCTTTGTGCGGCTGCGGCCGCCAGCTCGAGAAGACTTTTGGCGCCGTGGTTCCGGGTCTATTATGAACCGTAGCTATCCAAAGAAACTGTAAGAACGTTTCCAAAGAAATCGCCACCAAACCAAGTAAATCGTAAGGACGGCTCAAGCCAAACCGCGCCCAAAGCAGGCCAAACCAAGCACATCGTGAGGGCGTATCAGGCGAAACCGCGCTCAAACCAGGCCGGCTCAGTGAAATTCAGCCTTCACGACGCACCAAGCGACACCGCGCCCACGCCGGGCCAAAGCAAGCAATCGCGAAGACGTCTCGGGCGAAGCCGCGCCTAAAAACACGGCACATTGGGCAGACGTCTCGAGCGAGACCACGCCGACACCGGGCCAGGCCGAGCACGTCTCGAGGGCTGCGCCAGCCAAGCTGGCCCCTTGCCGTCGCTCGGACGTCCCTTTCCCGTGCATGTTTCGGTGTCGTGCGTGTTTTTTTTTTTGCTCGATGGTCCAGGATTGACTACCTGCCAGACCACCCCAACCCAACCCGAAGCCCCGAATTTTGGGTTGGGGGGGGGGTACGGGTTCCACACGTGTTTTCCAGATGTTTGCCAACCCCCCCCTACTAGAAATCGAGGGTGAATCTGAGCCTTCGGGTTGGGTTGGGGTGGTTTGGTGGGTGGTGAAGGAGGGTCCTCGATGGTCCTCGCCGAGGAAAACAAGTGCGCACGCCCGAGCGAGGCCAAGGGCCCCCAGGCCAGGCCGCAGCGGGGGGCCCAGGGGCAAACACCGTGCCCGAAGGCGCCTCGGGGCGGGGCGGGGCGCCCGGCCCAGCCAGGGGCCACACCGCGAGCAGGGTCCAGAGACGTCCCAGGCGAGACGCCGCACGCCATGCTCCACACGTAAAGCGCCCTGGGACACACAGATAAATACACGCAAATATAATGCTTCCCCATATTTTCCCATCTGTTCTTGGTCTTTGTCTTCCCCCCCCCCCGCTTCCCATAGTTTCCCCTCCTGTCCTGGGAATCGACGGTTAATTGTGTCTGTGTGCTTTTTTCCCTCCTGAAACACTTAAGTCGGGCCTGTCCCCCTACAGGGGGAATACCTATACGACCACCCTTCGGGTGATAAGGAGGTTGTGTGGGGTGGTGTGGGGGGGGGAACAACATCTGATTCACTCGATCTCACGATCGATCTCACTCAGCGAACGCCACGGAACACCACGGGACACTTGACGATCTCATTGCCGATCTCACTGTCGATCTCACTGAACGGAACCCCACGGGACACCACGGGCCACCACAGGACACCACGGGACACCGCGGGACACCTCTTGATCTCACTATCGGTCTCACTATCGATCACACTCAACGGGACACCATAGGACACCACGGGACTCAACGGGACACCATGGGACACCACATCGATCTCACTATGGATCTCACTATGGATCTCACTATCGATCTCACTCAACGGGACACCACGGGACACCACGGGACACCTGTCGATCTCACTATCGATCTCACTCAACGGGACACCACAGGACACCACGGGATACCTGTCCATCTCACTATCGATCTCACTATCGACCTCACTTTTAGGGACACCACGGGACACCTCGGGGCACCACATCGATCTCAGTATCGATGTCAATATCGATCTTACTATCGATCTCACTATCGATCTCACTCACTCAACGGGACACCACGGGACACCACGGGACACCGCGGAACACCGCGAGCCACCGCCGGACGGACGGACGGACGGGCGGGCGGGGGAGAATCATTTGTCTTGACTTCGCCCTAGCAACGGCGGACACCACGGGTCACCACGGGACACCACGGGACACCGCGTGACACCGCGAGCCACCGCCAGACGGGCGGGAGGGGGATAATCATTTGTCTTGGCTTCGCCCTAACAACGGCAAACACCACGGGACACCACGGGACACCACGGGACACCACGGGACACCGCGGGACAGCGCGAGCCACCGCCAGACGGGCGGGCGGGGGAGAATCATTTGTCTTGACTTCGCCCTAGCAACGGCGGGTTCATTCCTCTCGCGCGCCCACGCAGCTTCGCCTCGCCCGCACGCACGACACGAACGAAACGAAACGATTTCCCGGTTGGGGGTCTCCGTTCCACTGCGATCTCACCCTCCAACCTCCGACTCAGAAATAGTAGAAGAATAGCCTGGGGACGATTTTCATCATTTTTGAATATTTCTGGGGTGTGTTTTGGGTATTTTATAGTTTTCGTCCAAACTCTGCCTGTAGGAGGACATGCCCGACCTAACTCTACAGTCGGCCCGTACCCGAGGGATGCGCTATAAGGGTGTAAGGGCCTTTGGATGCCCACTTCGAAGCTTTTCGAGCGGGGCGCGGCCAACGAAAGTGGCCAAGGATGGGCTGAGGAGGCAAGGATGCAAAGGTGCCCTTGGGAAGGTTGCCCATCCTCACCCTGCGGGTCGACTGTACCCATTCTCCCGCACATAAACAACGGAGCGAGCCCATCGCAGGGGTCCTACCATCAGAACCCCTACCATCAGAACCGTAGGAGGGATCGCACCAGCATGCGTGTGGCTGGGGTGCAACAGCGTGCACCTGTCTTCTGATGGTTGTTCAGGCCTCGGTGTGGCGCCAGGAGACATGCTACCGGGGCTGCAGATGCAGGCTCTGGGGGAGTTCCTGCCCCTCCTCGAACCCTAGGGTGCCACCGTGGACGTCTGCAGACCTCGGGAGAACTCCGAGGGCTTCCCGAGGCCTTCTCTCTCGCGCGCGCGATGCTTACCACACCGCCCTCTCCCACAACGAAGCGGCGGCCTTCAGCAGCCCCAGGTGGGCATTGGTGGCCTTGTTCTTCTGCGTCCTGGCCATTTCCGCCTGAAGCGCCGCATGAAGCTCAATGCCATAGACCAACAGAACAGCATGACCAAGTCAACGCTGCAGAGAGAGCTTGAGAGCACAGGCAAACGGTCGCAGAGCGGGGCCCCGAGCAGCGGCATCCTGTGCGCACCTGCATCAGCACACAGTGGCACAGGTACATCATGTACATTTTGTATGACATATCATCCCTGTACAGTCGGTGCGTTGACCTAAGGAATCCTAAATAAGGAACGAGGCCCCTTTTTTTTCATAAGTTGAACTTCGATTTCCTATCGAAAACATGAGGAAAACCTGAGGCAAGCTGTGAAACACTTAAGGAACGCGGAGCCCCTCCCCAACGAAGAGGGTTCCTTCTTCAGGGCCCCGACTGTACCCATCCACTGTGTTGCCTTCATCATCTCCGTCTCGTGCGGTCGCCGCACGAATCAGCGGGGGGTGCACGCTGTGGCAGGGCTGGGCGACAAACTATGCTTGGGTTTTTGTTCGGGTCATAACGAAGGGGCCCTGGGACACACGAATCAATACACACAACTAAAAAGATTCCCCATACTTTCCCATACTTTCTGGGTTCCTGTCTTCCCCCCCACTTCCCATGTCTTCGCATATTTGTCTGGGAATCGACGATTCATTGTGTCTGTGTGTTCCTTCCCCTCCTGACACAACTCGGGTCCCTGGGGGCCATCCTGGACGACTCGGACGCCCCCTGGAACGCCCTCGGCGACGCGCAGCCGCTGGCAGGCGTCCCGAGGCCGTGAAGCCGCCGAGAAACAACGACGAAACGCCCGAAGACCTCGGGCTCCGAAACTTCGCCCCTGCACTCCGCACGGGCTCCGAAACGCCCGAAGACCTCGGGCTCCGAAACTTCGCCCCTGCACTCCGCACGGGCGAGCACCGCTCGTGCGCCGTCGGCTCTCGCCGGGAGCGGCGCCGCTCTCGCCGGCGCCCGACGCAGAGGCGGAGGGCCTGCCCCGCCCGGGGGAGGCACGGGAGCGCCAGAGCGCGGCCGCCCGCCCCACGGGGTGCCCCGTCGGTGCCACGCAGCTCGCGGGCGCGCGCCGCAGCTCGCGGGCGCGCCGCGAGGCCCGCAGGCCAGCACAGGAAGTGCCCTTAGCGATTTCCCACCGGGGCCCGCGCAAGCGTGGCAGCGGTGGCAACGGCGCGGCGCGGCGCGGCGCGGAGCGGCGCCGGTGCTGGGCACCGGATTCCCCGTGCCCTGTGGACGGGGCGCAGGAGGCCGAAGCCTCCGGTCGCGTGGGCGGAGGAGGTGCGGGCGGATCAGTAGCCGAAGCGGCGCAGATCCGCTTCGCTCTGAAGAGTGGCTGGGTCTTTCCCAAGCGCGGCAACGGAGGCGGGGGACGAAGCTGTGGGATCGAACATCTGACGCATGGGACTTCATGCTGAGCCTCCCAGCTGCGCGTCCGCGCATGCTGGTGGCCTTCCCTCTCAAGGTCAGCAGATGAGGGGGAGGATGGCCAGCGGGGGGATGGTTGCTGCAAGCGCTCGGCCAGTGTATCCCCCGCCTCAATGTCGGCGATCTTCTGAAGCACGCTCATCCCGGCGAAGAAGCCTGGCTGCGGAGGCAGTGGCAGAGAGAGAGAGAGAGGCAGAAAGAGAGAGAGAGAGAGAGACAGAGAGAGAGGCAGTGGCAAAGAGAGAGAGAGAGAGAGAGAGACATAGAGAGAGAGGGAGACGCAGTGACAGAGAGACAGAGAGAGATCGGGAGAGGGAGAGAGAGAGAGAGAGAGAGAGCCAGAGAGGGATGCAGTGGCAGTGAAAAAGAGAGAGAGAGAGAGAGACAGAGGAAACAAGGCGGCAGAGGGGCAGGGGATGGTGAGGGGAAATTTGGGGACACATACCTCCAGGTTGTTGTTTGTTTTTGTATCCTGTCGTTTCTCACTGCGTATAGGCCTCCTGGGACTATTGTCGGGCTCCAGAACCATCACGAAAACGATCCATGATGCGGACGAGCCCCATGGAAGGGGTCGAGTGCTCTTGGGGCCCACGGATCAAACAACACTGCGCGGGAGGTCTGGGAGCAATTGGAATCAGATCACGGGTCCAATGTAAGGACGAAAGAACTTGTGAACTTCCACCTTGAGACGACTGTACCCGCGTCAGACCGCAGGATGGAATAAGCAGGGGTCGAAGAGACAGGGATGCAATAATCATCTCTATGTTTGGAAGTTGACAGCACATGGGAAGGGTCGGGGGAAGAGGGGCGGGGGGGAGGGAGGGGAAGGATGGCGGGAAGCAAGAGGACACGACTGCCAAGCGATGAACAATGCTTTCACGCACAACGGAATGCGAAACGTGGAGTGTATGGCCCACTTGGGATAGCCTCCCCACCCTGCACCTCCCCATCGTCGAACCACCCCTGTGCAAAAGGCAGCGGCTCAGCCTGGGCTCAACTCAGCACAACTTGCTCATGGCTTGTGCCCGTGAGGGCGACAACCGCCCCCGCCTAGCCGCACCCTTGGCTTAGCCGTTGTGGCCAGTGTGCGGGGCGGGGGAAACGAGACGCCTACTTATACTGTGTGAAGAGCGTGGTGGACGAGGAAGAGACGCAGGAAGAGAAAATGTAGCGTAACAGGGTTGTCGACAAGCACTTTCCTCTCGCTGCGCCGCTGCGAACCTTCGCTGGGGCTTTGCAGCCACGTCCGTGTGCCTTCCGGCAGGGCCCGTCACCTTCGGTGCGATTGCAAACCCCACTCGGAGGCGTGATCCCCAGGCGCACGGCGTTTGCTTCGAAGGTGGGAAAGGGGGCGGGGCATCTTCCAAAAAAAAACATTTCCGAATCGCCAACCCGTGACATTCTCGACCCTTTCCCCTGGACGCACTTTGTATACTGGGCCGCCTTTGGTCTCTTTCTGGCTGGCACCCGTCGCAGACTGGCCCAGGCCTACCGGCGGCCAGCGGCTCTGGTTAATCTGGCGCGTGACTCTGTTTTCATCTGGTTGGCGAGTGATTCTGTTCCATCGCCGCGAAGAAGTTGAACGGAACAGCGCCTCTAGGGACGACGATTTTCCCCGTGAGTTGTGGACGATGTGCAGGCCAGGCGCGGCAGCGTGGGAGAGGGCCGCGAAGCTGTGCAGCAGAAGCTGGAGCGAAGAGCTCTCGCTGGCGCCAGGCACGAGTCTGTATTGACCACCCTGTTCAAAGAAGGTGGCTCAACGGACTGCGCCAATTATGGAACCATCTCCCTGCTGCCGCTGGCCATCGCTCGGACGTCCGTTCCCTGTGTTTTTTTCGGATTCGTGCGTGGCTGTTTCGCCAAATGATCAAGGATGTTCCTCGATGGTCCTCGCCGAAAGAAAAATGCACACGTCCGAGGGATGCCAAGGCCGATGGGACGCCTGTGCGGAAAAGAATATGCCCGCCCAATTCGGGCAAAGGGTGCGGCACTAGCACGGCCGACGCGCTGTTCATAGCTCTGAGGGGAACGTATGTGTCGCGACCTCAAACATTCGGCGTGTCCCAACGATGTCCACTATAGTTTCCGCGTTCAATCGTGATGTCGGCCCTGATACACGACGCAACCTCGGCGCTCCAACAGCACAGGCTTGTGCAAAATAGTGAGTCCCCTGCCACTTGGCTTCCTTATGCACATGATGCGCTTGTGGTTGGGGTGCAGGGCGAGTTCGCAAGCGAACCCACACACGAAATCCAACGAACTGGCCCGAACGACGGCCTCACTTTGAACCGGGGCAGGGACGAAGTCATGCCTGCTCGTCGCAAGGCGGCCATCCCCAAGCCAGGTGGGCAACGCGTCCCACACAAGGAGAACATGATCTTGCATAGTGTCGAAGTTGATGTTGGTGTGCGCGCGCTCTCGCTGGGCAGCGCAATAGGGTCGCTCCTACTACAGCTGTGTCAACAGCGCCGCTGTGTTGCAACGTTGTCGCGAGAATAATGTGAGTTCTGTGTTCAACTTCCAACAGTTGGTCCTGCTAGGCCACATCGACCTCGTGCCGAACGAACGCCCAGCACGAAGATGCGTGTTCCGCCCTGACTCCTTCGAGCTTGCGCTGTCACTGGGCAGGCCGCACAACGCTTGGAAGATAAAGGTACATGCGCTCGCGCGTAGTGCGGCTGGCGTGGGCGTGATCTTTCGAGGATCAGGCCTCCCCCACCGCCTGTTCCCTGCCCCCTCTCCCCTCCTCCCCTCTCTCACCTCTTCTGTCAAGTACCTGGCAAAAAGGGTCTTGTTGTGCAATGTTTGCCATGTGTTTGAAAGGGATCGTAGAAATCTGAATCTTGGTCCGGCTTCACCGCCCGCCTGTCTGCGAGGTGGTGTCCTCGTCCCCTCCTCCGCCATCCTGCGTCGTTCCTCTGCCTGCTCTCCCTCGCGCTCGTCTCCCAGGCTGTCGCATGGTCGTCGCCCTCGTCCCCTCCTCGTGCCTGTCGTTCCCTGTCGCTCGCTCCCCTCCCTCCCCCAGCTCCGGGTTTGTCCTGGTCTCTGGGTGTCGTTCCCTCCTCTGTCCCGTGCTGCCGTTGCTCTCCCAGGTCGTCCACCTAGAGGGCTCAAAATCGTTGAGCATATATATATATATATATATATATATATATATATATATATGTACATATGTATGTGTATATATATGGTTTCGGCCCCAGAGGGGAACCCCGAAGTGGCCCCAGGAGCCCTTTTGTGCTGAGACCACCAAAGGGCCCCCAACAGGCACCTAGTGGCGCCCAGGAGGTCCCAAGAGACCTCAAGGTGCTCCGAAGAGCCGTCCGAGAGGACCCAAGAGGCCTCCAAGTGGGCCCCCACGAGCCATCTCAAGAGAGCCCAAAGGCGTCCAAGAAGACTCTGACCCCCAATCCAGGCAAGGTGGCGGGATGGGCCGAATGCGTCCACTTCTCGCTCTCTTTCTCCTCTCTGCACATCGTAAAACAACGTTACGCACATAGTAAATATCAAAATGCATGTGTGCATACAAACTTGTACATGCACACGTACGCAAATACTACTTTGCAATAAGGTTGCACACGTAAGTGAATTCGCTTCTATGCAATTGTATATGTTTAATCATCTACACATAGACGTGTGTATGCAGATGTGCATACGTCCATTCATACATACATACAAATCAAGAACTCAGAAACGACTGTTGGCATCCGTCTCCGGACTGGTGAGTCGTTCTGCGTGGGAAGTCCTGACCATTCTGAAAATCGGGCGCACCCCTCTCGCAGATCGCGACGCCACGATCCAAACACAACATGTGTGCTTGAACTCTTGTGCTCGATGCGATCGAAACCACAATGGTTTCAAGGATCGTGCACACGACGGTGAGAATATCAAAGACTTTTAAGGAAACCAAATGTGATCAATTTCAACAATACCGGGTCAAACACTATTGATTTGGACAACTTGACATTTCACAGTTTCAAAACAATTCGGATTACATTTAGTTTATGTAAAAGTGCTAACAGTAGTTGTTTACCCCATTCACTACCACACCCGTAGACATGCATGTCGAGCACAGTGGCACATCGCATTCGTAAACTCATTGTCGGTCGGTGAATGTGGACTGCCCATCTTCGGAACATCTGCTTAACGCTCTTGCTTGCATCCCCTGCTCGATTTGCATGAGCTTGGGCACGCCTGTATATTGATTTCTGTGTATACACAGACTTTCCTTCATCTGTATACATAGACTAATCCCTCTTTCTTACTTTGATATTAGAAAGCGATACCAACCTTGTCCCGTGTTCCGTCGAGAAGCCCGCCAAACACATTGATGCGAGTCTGTGCTATTTTCCGATTCACCCTTGCCCCTCGATGCCTCTGGGAGCCCCCTTCGACTCGGAGGCATGGAGCCAGGGGCAAAGAGAGGAGGGGGACGGATGCAAACTCGAACACAGGACCCGTCCTGGGGTGCGTCCTGGCCAGAATTCTGACGAGTCCTCTAGGGGCATGGAGGCCCGAAAAGGTAGCAAAGCGTTGAAAAACCAACATCCTCGATGTTCGATCCTCGACGGCAATGGTCGACAGGGGAGGGAGAGGTAGACCAATTGAGTCCCCCCATGTCAGAGATCAGTAACGGACCTTTCGATGCCCTCCCAAGGGCAATTTTCTCATCCTGGATAGTTTTCGGTCCCGAATCCCGAAACCAGCATCCAGAGGCCAACCATTGCAACACACTGGCCGTCTCGATTTTCCGAGGCGGTGAATGTCTAGACGAACATTGATAGAGACCTGCCGAATGGGATCCGAGTAGACGGGGTCCAAAGATTGCGCCGTATCGCCGATGCTTCGGCGACGTCGGCGATGCATCGGCGCAGCCAGCGTGGAGAAAATCGGGCTCCACATCAAGGCGCATCACCGATGCATCGGCGATGCGATGCGATCTTCCGACCCAGCTACTCGGATCGCTTTTCGGACGCCGGGAAGAAAGAGAGAGAGAGAGAGGAGGTCCTCGACCCTTACTCCTCCTCCGCATTCCCCCCCTACCTCCTCCTCCTCCTCCTTCTCCTCTTTCTCCTCCTCCTCCTCCTGCTCCAGAGAGAGATAGAGAGCGAGAGAGAGAGAGATAGGTGAGGTCCTCGACACTTACTCCTCCTCCGCATTCCCCACTCGCCTCCTCCTCCTCCTCCTCCTCCTCCTCCTCCTCCACCTCCCTCTCCTCCTCCTCCTCCTCCTACTCCTCCTCCTCCTCCTCCGTCTCCTCCCCCTCCTCCTCCTCCTTCTCCTCCTCCTCCTCCTGCTCCAGAGAGAGATAGAGAGAGCGAGAGAGAGAGAGAGAGAGTGATAGAAAGAGAAATAAAGAGAGAGAGAGAGAGAGAGAAAGAGAACTTACTACACATATATATATATATATATATATACATACAGAGAGAGAGAGAGAGAGAGCAGAAAATGCTTCCGCACCAGAGGCTGGTAACGGATGGCCTCGGAGGCAAGACCGCGACGAGGCTGCTCCACGAGCCACTCGTTCGCCCACGCCCGCGCGCGCGCGCTAGCGCGCCGGGGGCGCGCTGACGGCCGCGGAGAAAAGGGGAGAAACAGGGAGGAGGAGGAGGAGGAGGAGGAGGAGGAGGAGGAGGAGGATGATGAGGAGGAGGGAGGAGAAGGGAGGAGAAAAAGGAGGAGTAGGAGGAGGGAGGAGGGAGAAGGAGGGAGGGAGGGGGGAGGGGGGGAGGAGGGAGGAGGGAGGAGGGAAAAGGAGGAGGAGGAGGAGCAGGAGAAGGAGGAGGAGGAGGAGGAGGAGGAGGAGGAGGAGGAGGAGGAGAAGGTGAGGCCGGCGATAATGCCATCCCCGCGAGATCCCAGAAGCCCCATACCCATGACCCAAGCACGGTGGCGGGATGGGCCGAAGGCCATTCGATCCGCCGCCCCCTGTTGATTTATCGCAAGGGTGCCTGGCGTGCTAGATCCTTTCTGTTTGGGTTTTGTTTTTTCCACAAAAACTCCCCCTTGGGCTTCGGCCCGTCCCGCCGGCCTACCAGAAAGATCTTCCAGCTTGCCCAGAGGTGGTTGCAAAAGGTTTTCCCTGCTCCAGACGGCTCCAAGACGGCCCAAGATGGCCTGCAAGACGCCTCCAAGACAGCCAACATGGCCTCCAATACGGCTCAGATGGCCCCAAAATGCCTCCAAGACGGCCCAAGATGCACCCAAGACGGCCTAAGATAGCCTCAAGATGGTTCAAGACGGCCCAAGAGGCCCCCAAGAGCCCCCCAAGACGCCTCCAAGAGCCAAAATCATTGGTTTTCCTTGGGTGTTTGAAGGATTTTGGCATCTGCTTCTTTTCGGCCTTCCGACGACCTCAAGACGGTCCAAGAGGCCCCCAAGATCGCCCCAACATCGCTCACGAGGCCTCCAAGATGGCCCCATGACGGCCCAGTAGGCCCCCAAAACGGCCCCAAGAGGGCTCAACAGGGCCCAATAGGCCGCCAAGACGGCCAAGCTGGCCTCCAAGAAATACCCGAAGCGCCCCAAGAGAGCCCCAAGTCGTTCCAGGGAGGCCCCCAAAGCAGCTCCCGACGGCGTCAGACGGGCCAGGAACGCCATAAGACGGCCAAAGAAGCCCCCCCAGAAGCCCATGGCCCCATGAGGCCCTCAAGAAGAACCAAGAGAGCTCAAGATAGCCCCAACATGGTCTCCAAGACGGTCCCAAGATGGCCCAATCGAGACCAAGAGTGCCTCAAGAGGCTCCGAAGAGGCATCCTCCCCCTTGTCCTTTTTCCTCTTTCTCCTCCTCCTCCCCTTCCTCCCCCCCGCGTTCCCTGAAACCTTTCCAGGCCGACTCGGGGAACACATGGTCCGATAGCTTGGCCAAGCTCTAGCCCAGCTGCCGCACACACGGGCGCTTCCGCAAAGGCAGGGGGCGGCGGCGATTCGCCGCAGGCGTCTTCGATCCGCCGCCCCCTTGTGAACTATCACAGGGGTGCCTGGCAGGCTGAGGTTCAGGAAATTCTTGGTTCTTTTCGAGACTCCCTTTTTTTGTATGTTTTTTTGTTGTGGTTGCTTTTTGTTGTTTTTTCAAGACTCCCTTTGGGGCTTCGGCCGATGCCGCTGGCCACGCGGAAGGCCCGCAAACGACCTCAGGGTCCACAACGAACCCTCCCAGACGGCCCAAGACTGCCTCCAAGTTCGCCCAGGATGGCCTCCCAGACTGCCCAAGAGGGTCCAGGATGCATCCAAGTCCGCCCTCGAAGCCACCAAGACGGCCCAAGATGGCTCCAGGGTGGCCGAAGACGGCCCAAGAGGCCTCCAAGAGGTCCTCCAGGAACGTCCGACGAGGCCAAGATCAATGACTTACCATCGGTTTTTGACAAATTCTGGCATTTGCTTCTTTTCGGCTTCCCGAAGACCCAAGACGGCCCAAGAGGCCTCCAAGGATCGCCCCTAGAGCGCCCAAGAGGCCTCCAAGACGTCACCAGGACGGCCCAGAGAGGGACCCAAGACGGTCCAAGAGGCCTCCATGACGCCCAAGATGGCCTCCAAAACAGCCCTGAAGCGCTCCAAGAAGGCCCCAAGACGGTCCAGAGATGCCCCCAAGACGGCTCCCGACGGCCCGGGGACGCCCTAAGACGGCCAAGAGGCCCCTAAGACGCCCTCAAGAGGCCGAAGGAGACGAGACCCCCAAGAGGCCTCCAAGAGGCTCTCAGGAAGCTTCCGGGCGACCCCAACTCCTCCTCCTCATCCTCATCCTCCTCTTCCTCCCCCTCCACGTCCTGATCCAACGACGGCTTGGGGAATGCATGGTGCAATAGCTTGTTCGAGCTCTAGCCCAACTTGCGGCCACATAGTGGCTTTCAAAAAAGCAGGGGGCGGCGGTGATTCGCCGTTTGCGTCGTCGTCACTTCGAGCAGTCGCGGATAATAGTAGGGGTATCTGGCCCAGGCCAGATATGGAGCTGGCGTGGCTTGCGAAGAGGCGCATCTGCTCCACTCCGTGACCGACGGAAACAGCGGGGAGCTTCTTACTCAGAGCAATAGTGAGAAGGGGGGCAGTGTAGAGGTTGAACACTCGCGGCCACAAAGTGTGGGCGAACGAATCGCATGCGGGTCGCGACATACTCTTGACATAGACCGTGGCAACTTTGGAACGGGGGGGAGAAAGGAGAATTGAGCAGGGACCGACCGTCCTGGCATTCCTATAGTCATACCAGGCAATTTTCGTAGAAACCAAAAATGTTCTAAGAACAAGAACAATGTCCTTAGAACGTGAACCCGATGTGTTAAAACAGACAGTCCCAGCCAGACATGTTCTAAGACCATTTCGTGGGGACCACAGAAAATTCTTAGAACATTGTTTGGTGGGGCTATAGGCGAGCCAGCCAGGACGCTTCGCTACTGCTTGAGAGAAGAGGTGGTTCGTATGAAGACGGGGCAAGGGGCGGGAAGTCGCTGAGACCGACTGCCCTCGCTGCCCCCAGAGAGAAAGCAACGCGAAGGGCAGACGCCGAATACGGCACTTCCTCCTCTCTTCCTTCTCCTCCTCCTTCGTCCCTCCTTCGGCTTTCTCCTCCTCCTCCTCTTCCTCCTCCTCCTCCTCCTCCTCCTCCTCCCTCATTCTTCTCCTCCTCCTCCTCCTCCTCCTCCTCTTCCTCCTCCTCCTCCTCCTCCTCCTCCTCCTCCTCCCTCGTTCTCCTCCGTCTTGCTCCTCTTCCTCCTCCTCCTCCTCCCTCGTCCCTCCTCCCTCTTTCTCCCTCCCCTCCTCCGTGCTCCCTCCTCGCCCCCCTGCTGCACGCCCCCCCCCCCCCCAAAAAAAACAAAGATGGGGCCCAGGGACACACAAATAAACCATCACACATCCCATGGTTCCATATATTCTCGACTATTTTCTGGGCTTTCGTCTCCTACCACCCACCCCACCTCACATGTTTTCTCATCTCTTCCAGGGGATCGACGATTCATTGTGTCTGTGTGTTTTTGTTTCCGTCCTGACTCCCCCTCTCTTCGCCCCTCCGCCCCTCCTCCCATCGCACCTCCTCCCGTCCCTGCTGCTGCCGCCGCCCCTGCTGCTCCTCCTCGCGTGGTCGCCACTGGGGGCTTCGAGAGGAGGGGCCCCATAGGGCCCCAGGGACCCCGACAGGGGATCATTTATAGATCATTTACAGTCGGGGCGTTGACCTAAGGAACCCTGAAGAAGGAACGAGGCCCCTTTTTCTCCCATAAGTTGAACTTCGATCTCCCGTGGGAAACCCCGAGAGAACCGAAGGTACGCTGCAGAACAGGCAGGGAACACCGCCCCCCCCCCCAACGAAAAAGGTTCCTTCTTCGGGGCCCCGACGGTATGGCCCCGGGCACCCCGAATGGGGCCCAGTGAGACCCCAAGGTGTCCTTTTCTTCGCCCCCCCCGTGACGGACCACCCGACCTCCACGGCGCCCTCGGACGTCGCCACGCCCGGTTTGTTTTTTGCGGCCCGACGGCCGTGCTGCGCGGTCCTGAGCCACCTCCCCCGGTGCTCAGCCGGCGAGCCCGCGTCGAAGGGACCTGGGGGGCGGAAGAGGATTAACAGGGGGAGGGGGTAGACGAGAGGGAGGCTGCGGATGAAGGGGAGGATTCGGGGGAGCACTGTCCATTTCCCGCCTCCTTCTCCTCCCTCCCTCCCTTCCGTCGTCGTCGCCGTCCTCCTCCTCCTCCTCCTCCTCCTCCTCCTCCTTTCCGTCGTCGTCGCCCTCATCCTCCTCCCTCCTCCTCCTCCTCCTTTTCCTCCGCGTCTCTTCCTCTTCCTCCTCCTTCTCCACCTCCTAGTCCCTTCCGTCGTCGTCCTCCCGCGGGCGGGTCGAAATGTGACGCCCAGTTGCTGTTGCGGTTGCGCGCCCGCGGGCGGGTCGAAATGTGTCGCCCAGTTGCGGTTGCGGTTGCGCGCCCACGGGCGGGTTGAAATGTGTCGCCCAGTTGCGATTGCGGTTGCGCGCCCGCGGACGGGTCGAAATGTGTCGCCCAGTTGCGGTTGCGCGCCCGCGGGCGGTTTGAAATGTGTTGTTCAAGGTGCCCTCCTGACGTTCAGTCAGTCAATCAGTCAGTCAATCAGTCAGTCAATCAGTCAGTCAGTCAGTCACCGGCGGGCACGGAATTTCACCAGGCTCCGCCGGGAAACAACATATAGCTTCATGGATTTTGCATTCTCGCCGTTTCCTTTGTGGTGGATTTTTGAGGCCTCAAGATGGCCCAACGAACATCAAATGAGCCCCACGAAGGTCTCATATTTGCCCCATGACAGCTCCGCCGCCCCCAAGAGCTCCCCAAGCGATCCCCAGGGTGCGACTTCCTTGGCACCAGGGGAGGCATCCGAAAGAGTCTCTGTTCTTTTTTACGCCGATGGCTGGGGAAGAGGCCGAAACCACTTGCGGCACGGATGGGGTTCGCAAGAGAAGCTGCCCGGACACGATGCGTTACCTTGGGACCCCCGTCAACTTTTGGCGGACAAGCGGGGCCCTAATGAAAACGGGTCCTAGACCCCGGGCTCCCCCTTGGACCGAGTCTTGGGGCCGTTTTTTGATCACCCTGGAGGCCGCACACGGAGAA